CCGGTCCCGGTCTGGTACGGGCGCGACACTGAGGGTTGCGATCCGTTGCCGGACACGATAAGAGACAAAAAGGAAAAAAAAAAAAAAAGAAGTCAGTTGTAATTCAGCTTTGGGAGTGAATGAAATATGTGCAGGCAACTGCAGACAGTGAGAAGAGAAGATGACCGAGTAGAGAACCTGGTTGTATGAACTAAGAGAAGAGACCTGTGTGAGAGGCTGGGACAGAACTGTCAGGAATGCAGGAGAAGAGCTAAAAGAGACGTCTCAATAGAAAGGAGCCAAGCAAGGAGGGCAATTCCAGAATTAGGTGTGGCCAACAGCCTCAGACAGCAGATGCCGCAGAAAGGCCCGTAGAGTTCAGACTGGAGGAATCCCTGGCCTTTGTTAATTAAGAGGGCTTTGGTGACAATGCCAGAAGACTTTCAGCAAAAATGAGAGAAGCTGAATTACAGTGAATTCAAGATTTGAGGTGAGAAAGGAAGCAGCAACCTTTTTTTAAAAAATAAAAAAATTAATAAAATTTGACAAAATATTGATAGTTTCTCAGAACTCTGGTATATTCAGTTGTCTATTTGACATTTCTGTTGAGATGTCTAATAGATATCGCAAATGGACTGGATATGGCAAACTGGACTGCTGATTACCCGCCCGCCTCCCCCACCTTCCTGGTCTGCTGTCTTTCCCATGTCAGGTGATAGCAGATCCAGTGGCTCAGACCAGAAGCTTTGGAGTCATCCCTGGCTCCCCTCCTTTACATTCCACACTCTAGGTCTGTCCCGGGCAGATCCTCCACCTTTTTCCTTTTTGTGTTTTTTTCGTGACCGGCAACGGATCGCAACCCTCGGTGTTGCTCCCGCCCCTCGCTCAGCCAGTGAGCAGCCAGTCTGTATGTGGGATCCGAACCCTCAGCCGCAGCGCTTCCCAAGCGGCGCACTGTAGCAGTACGCCACCAGGCCGGCCTAGATCCTCCACCTTTTGAGGTCTGTCAGTGTTGCTGCTGCTGCTCAGCACATGGATCACTGTTGTTTTTCATCTGGAAGACTCTAGTAGCCTCCCAATGGGTTTTCCTTAATTTCTCCTTGCCCATATTTTTATTATACAACAATCTTAGTGATTCTCACTGTTTTAAAAGATGAGTCAGATCAGATCTGACTGAGAATAAAACTCAGAGCTCTTATAATAGTCCTTGAGTCCCTAAAAAGGTTTGACATTGCATTACCTCTGTGATGTCATCTCCTGTCCCTCTTCCCCCTTTACTCCAGCCACTCTGACCTCCAGCTCCTCCTCACACTTGCCACACTTCTTTAACAGGTCCTTTGCACTATCTCTTCTGCATGGAAGTTTCTTCCCCTGCATATCCACATGGGTCTTCTCCATTTCATCTTTCTTTAAATGTCACCTTCTTACCAGTGCCCATCCAGATCACCCTATTTATAATTGCTTCCCTGAATTCTGGTTCCCTCAGTCTGGTTGGTTTTTCCCCTCTGTGACATCTCTTCTAAAATGCCATTTAATTTACTTACTTATTTTAAAAATGGAAGCTGTAGGAGGGCAGGGATTTTGTTTTGTTCATGGACATAGTCTAACTGCCTAAAACAGTGCCTCACTTTTTTTCTTTTCCTTTCATTAGTAGAAGAGAATAGGAGAGGAGTTTGAGGATGAGGCAGTCTAGGGAATGCAGTAGAGCAGAAGGAGAAGAGAAGAAGAGATTGAAGGTCATGCAGAAATAGATCATTGTTTTCATCTTGTCCCAGAAGAGGCAGGCAGGGGTGGCATCAAGATCATAAATGAGTGAATGAGCTTTGGGCAAAGTAGAGGCCTTTTTTTCCCTGAGATCAGACAGAGAAGTTAAGGATGGCTGAAGCTGCATATTGGAGTTGGAGGAGAAATAAATTGCATTAGTTAATGCCTAATTAATTCTGTTTCCTTGGTTGGTAGTCACGTGTATCTCTTGAGTTATCACTGGTATACTGCAGCTATTGGGAAGTGGTTTAAGGATGAAGTGGGGACAGGGGACAGACAGTGAGAGAGAGAGAGCCAAGTGGATGTGACCCTCTCGTTCAGGAAGCTTGGCACTGAAAGTTCCTAAAGGCTCACCAAATTTCCAAGAGCCCAGGCTAGTGAGGTAGCATGAAGGATTTGTGGTTATGCATGCTTGCACCTGCATCTCCCTGTGCCATATGGAAAAGAAACATCTCAAACCCGTTTGCCTGTCCTGAAGTTTTAGGTATTTTTCTCTTATACTGTTTCTTCCACTTGGCCTTTCAGGAGCTTTTCAATCCAATTTCTGTTAATTCCTATATTGATGCTCATAGTGTATCTTACTTCCACTGTCTCTTTCCTGTGCAGAATCCTATTCATTACTTTGTGAACTCCAGGGGATGTTATAAATCATTCCATCTCTGCTTCCCTATCCCGTAGAATGTGATGCCTCTTTCGGCGGGATTATTCAAGAGTGAGCACAAAAACCCTGTGCCCCAGTGCCCTCCACGTCTCCACGTGCAGTTCCTATCCCACGTCCTGTGGAGCAGAATGCCAAACCAGTTTTTGAAAGTAGATGTCTCTCGAATAAGTGAACGCCAAGGCTGGCTGGTGCAGTGTTTGGATCCTCTGCAGTTCATGTCTCTTCATATCCCCGAGGAAAACAGGTCAGCTCTGTGTGTCCTTGACTGTCTGATTGGGACACTTGGAATTAAACTTGGGTCCAAGTGTTCATGTGCTGTAGAAACAAATGAGATTTTAAAAGATCTAATTTCTTTTAGGAATGGAGTCATTATTTGATTGGGACACTTGGAATTAAACTTGGGTCCAAGTGTTCTTGTGCTGTAGAAACAAATGAGATTTTAAAAGATCTAATTTCTTTTAGGAATGGAGTCATTATTCTGCATATTTCAAGTTTAAATCTATTTCTCAATACTTTGTCACTGAAAAAAATTATTATACTGCAGTTGAAGACACATTGTTAAGTATATGGTGCCTTCACTCACTTTTCTTTATGACTACAATGGCAAGATAAAAATTCAGACAAGTATAGCTACAATGTGATATACGACTTAGCAGAATAATGCAATATAGAATTATGAGATATTATGGAAGCACAGGAATCACTTTGTTCAGTCCTTCATTTTAGAGATGTGAAAACTGAGACTAAGATTTCAATGAAAGAAAATAGTGAAAATATTTTGACAGCTTTGGAAACACACTTATACACATTCTAGGCAGTAATAATTAATGATATAAACTACAGTGAATACTCAAAGGTAGCTTTGTGATTTTCAGCTTTTCCATGTGATAGCCAATTAAATTGCAGAGATTTCATTTTAGCAGACTTATTATCAAGTAACTAGCTGTTTCTAAGATTTGGACCAAGATTAACCTCCCAAAATACCATAAAAAAGTTCAGTCACAAATTAAATAAAAACAAGGCATGAAAACAATGCAGATAAACATATTTGTTGTCCTTTTATTTTAAGTCTTTAATCTTAAAAACAATTGTAGAAGCTATGTCCATTTTTATATCTTTAGACATGCTTGGCATTTTTCTTTTATTTTAATACCTTCAAAAGTTAACCTGTGCTTTGGAAGACATTTTGTCAGTTCTTCAAAAAAATTCAATATAAAGTTAACATATGACCTAAGAATTTCAGTTCTAGATACACCCAAGAAAAATGAAAACATTCAACCACACGAAAACTTGTGCATGAATGTCCTTAGAAGTATTATTCACAATAATCAGAAAGTAGGAACAACCCAAATGTCCACCAACTGATGAACGGATAAATAAAATGTGTTATATCCATATAATATTATTCCACAATACAAAAGAATGAAGTACAGATTCGTGCTGCAAAATGGATGAACCATGAAAACATTATACTGAGTGAAGAAGTCAGTTACGAAAGACCACATATTGCACGTATGATTTCATGTACATGAAAAGCCCGTAATAGGCAAATCTTTAGAGACAGAGAGTAGATGAGTGGTTACCTAAGGATGGGGGTGGAACTGAGGAGCGAGTGCTGATGGGCACTAGGTTTCCTTCTGGGGTGATGAAAATATTCTAAAGTTAGATGATGATTATGGTTGCACAACTCTGTTAAAATACTAAAATAATTAAATTATATGTTTTAAATAGGTAAATTATATAGTATGTAAAGTATGTCTTAATAAAGACTTTTTAAAATAAAGGAAATTCAGAGGAAAATTAATCTGGGCAGGTAAATTCATTTCTTGCATTAAATATTTATTTACATATTTTTGAGGCAAAGCTTTCTTGCTTCTTGAACCAGGTTAGCCAATCGAAAAAGGAGATTTGAAATTTTCCAAAGAGTGCTCAGATTCTGAGAGGACAGTCCCAGGGTCAAGTTGAAACCCAGATACCTAAAGGAGGTGCCCAGATTCTTGGTATGAGGATGGAGCATGAAGGAGAGCCTAGATGCATTAGTGGTGAGAAATTTTCAACACAACACCAATGTCTTTGTGGAAGGAAACTTGTAAAACACCTATGAGCGATTAAAGACAACTATGCAACCATCAAACACAATATAGAAAATTAAAAGGAGAAGTTAGTGTCTATTCCCATAGCTTTTTGGAATTTATAACATCCGTAGAATTCTCTCTGATTCAGACTTTTTTTAATGGTCCATTTCTAATCTTGCTACCGTTCTCTTTCTGCCTTGCACAGATCTGTCGACATATTGGAGCTGACCGAGCAGGAGGAATTGCTGAAATTTCACTATCACACTCTCCGCCTCTACTCAGCCGTGTGTGCTCTTGGGAACCACCGGGTGGCCCATGCCCTGTGCAGCCACGTGGATGAGCCCCAGCTCCTCTACGCCATTGAGAACAAGTACATGCCTGGTTTGCTGCGCGCCGGCTACTATGACCTACTGATCGACATCCATCTGAGCTCCTATGCCACCGCCCGGCTCATGATGAACAATGAGTTCATCGTCCCCATGACAGAGGAGACGAAGAGCATCACCCTCTTCCCCGATGAGAATAAGAAGCACGGCCTCCCAGGGATTGGCCTGAGCACCTCGCTCAGGCCGCGGATGCAGTTCTCGTCCCCCAGTTTTGTTAGCATCAGTAATGACTGCTACCAGCACAGTCCGGAATTCCCACTGGACATCCTAAAGACCAAAACCATGCAGATGCTGACGGAAGCTGTGAAAGAGGGCAGTCTTCATGCCCGGGACCCAGTCGGGGGCACCACTGAGTTCCTCTTTGTCCCTCTCATCAAGCTTTTCTACACCCTGCTGATCATGGGCATCTTTCACAATGAGGACCTGAAGCACATCCTGCAGCTGATTGAGCCCAGCGTGTTTAAGGAAGCTGCCACTGAGGAGGAGGAGAGTGATGCCCTGGAGCAAGAGCTCAGTGCTGCTGAAGACCCGAAGCTGGAAGGAGCTGGGGAAGAGGAAGCCAAGGGGAGGAAGAGGCCCAAGGAGGGCCTGCTGCAGATGAAGCTGCCAGAGCCAGTTAAGTTGCAGGTAATCAGGAAAAAGATGTGCGGGAATTCCAGAGTTTCTCAGTACTAAGATATTGAAATTTGCCTCTGTGTGTGTGTGTGTGTGTGTGTATGTGTGTATGTGTGTGTGTGTGTGTGTATTTGTTTGCATTCCCGTATAATGGTAGTTCTTCATTAAATTATTTAACTTCCTTTTCTTCTACCTCCTATTCCTTAGCAATTTCCTTGTATCTCCCCTCCTGTTTCTGCAGATACAATGTGTGTGTGTGTGTGTGTGTATTTGTTTGCATTCCCGTATAATGGTAGTTCTTCATTAAATTATTTAACTTCCTATTCTTCTACCTCCTATTCCTTAGCAATTTCCTTGTATCTCCCCTCCTGTTTCTGCAGATACATTTCATCTATATTATGTTGGAATGCCTGAAACACGAGGCGTTAAATACTCCTTCCCACCCCCTCCTCCACTCTTGCCAGCCTTAGAACACTTGTTGACCAGGAGATGTGCCCATTCTCCCATAAGATTTCCTTCCCCTAATACGTTTCGAAGGAATTGAAGATGTTGCCTTTCTTTGTGCTCATCAAGATGTCTGAAGGGTCCTTTCTCAATGCCCCTTGAGTATATTAGAGTCACTTTGATGTTTGTACTATCGTTGGGCTTTTTTGCTCTTCATTCCTTCAGTCAGCACTGATTGAAGTCTTACTCTGGGCCATGTATTTGGTGCTGGAAGGAGGAAACAGATGTGCGTCCTGCCTTCCAGAAGCTCACGGTCTCTGGGGAGATAGGCACTTCTTTATGCCTTGCTTTTAAAATATCCTATTGCTAATTGCACTAAATACTCTGAAGAAAAGAACGGATTACTAGGAGGAAGGAAATTTAAACTGGATTACTGTTGGAAAGGTGAAGGAAGGCCCCTTGGGGATGGTGACTTTTACCCAAGGTTGGATTAAGTAGATGCAGGAAGAGTGGGTGGGCAGGGTGTTCTAGGAGCTTTCCATGCAGAGCAGGTAGCCTGACAGAGGGTCCTGAGGCAGGAAAAGGCTCGTGTTTCTGCTGTGAGGAACACAGATAAGAAGGGAAAGAGGGTAAAGAGGGTAATCCAGAGTCTGTCTAATCAGGAGGATGTCTTGCTGCTCCAGGAGATGGGGATGGATGCCATTGCTACTTCAGAGCCGGTGGACAGAAAGAGTTATATTGTGGATGGCCACACGCAGGGTTTTAAAGTCCTCTTTGACACCACCATGTATTTACATCACTATTGATATTAAGTGTATATAAATGTTTTTCTAAACTTGAGAGATCATCTCTTAAATGGCAGGTTTTTCCAACAAACTGTCTCAGTTAGAAATCCTTTTGGTTTCCGGTAAGAGAATCCCCAGCTAACCATTTAATGAATTAAGCATTTACCACATAATTAATTTGCATGCAAAGTCTGGGGTTCTATAATTGGTACAGTAACTCAGTGATGTCATCAGGAACCCAGATCATAATATCTTTCTGCTCTGTGTCCTCAACCTGTGGTTTTCTTCTGAAGTTCATTACCTCATTCTTCCTCTCGTGATCATGTCATAGCCCAGTTACACTCATTTTGAAAGGAAGATGTTCTAGTCTGTTATTAATGATGGAAAATCTATCCCAGAAGACCCCTAGCAAATTTCTTCTTATATATCTCATTGGCCACTGCACCTGTGGCTACAAGGGAGGCCAGAAGAGTAAGTGTCCCCCAAAGGCACATGCATTTGCCATTTGGGCTTAGACAAAATACATTTTACCCCCTGGGTCTCAGCACATCGCTGCCTACACAAAACCAGTATTCTGTTTATAAGGGAGAAGTGTGGGCAACTAAGCACATTTACCGTAGATTGTGATATCATACACATTAACTGTTAAAGGAGTCAAATTAAATTTGATGTCTCTTTCATTGTCTTCTTAGATGTGCCTCCTGCTTCAATACCTCTGTGACTGCCAGGTCCGGCACCGGATAGAAGCCATTGTCGCCTTTTCAGATGACTTTGTAGCTAAGCTCCAAGACAATCAGCGCTTCCGATATAACGAAGTTATGCAAGCCTTAAACATGTCGGCTGCACTCACAGCCAGGAAAACAAAGGAATTTAGATCACCACCTCAAGAACAGGTGCAAGAATGACATGGAAATTCTTCTTTTTTATTTTGGTTTTTAGTTTATTCAGGATATGTACATTGCAAAATTAAATCATAGGTTGCAAGTGTTTTTTTTTTTCCTGTTTTGTTTAAACTAGCCAAGTTGATTTCATCAGTATTCTTAGTTTCACCAAAACAATCTACTTGGTTTATTTAAACAAAAGAGGGACTTATTAAAAGATATCAGGTATGTCACAGACTCTTTAAGGAAATCAGTATGCCAGAGTCTGAATTTCTGCAAATAGGAACAATATCCATCCACAGATGGGTCTTCTTTGGCTGACATGACATCACCCCCACTAATAGAAACCCTTGAGTCCTAGGACTCGATGCTAGACGCTTTCCATTTGGTCCCTCCATAGAAGAACCAAATGTCTCTGCTGCTTTGCTTGCTGGAAGATCGATAACCCTGTTTGTGGTTCTTCCTCTCTTTGCTCACCTCCAAATCCAGGTCTCCTTAGGGTGCAGCAGAACCAAGAGCACATACCTGAATCAGAGATTGAACTAGTCTGGGGATGTTCATTTTCTGGAACCTACCTTGGGATGGGACTCATAGCATGGAACTTACCAAGATGTAGAGCTGATGGTTAAAAGATACGACTCATAGATTTCATCTTCTTTTTCTTACCCTTACCATTTCTTTCTATGTCCAAGTTAGCTCAGAATGAAAGTGTCTTAGGGACTAATTACACAATTTGTTTTTCAACAGAATGTAATTTCTTTGAGGGAAGGGACATGGAATTTTGCTTATTGCTATAAACAGCATTTATTGAGCGGAGAGCAAATACGACTTCTCCAAGATGCACTCTGTTTGTTAAGCTACTGTTAAGAGACTTCTGCTTTTGGAAAGGTGAACTACATGTGCTTTTCCCTATTCTTCCTTCTAATGCAAGTAAAACCCTGGACATTACATATAAGACAACATAAAAAGACTCTGAAAGATAGAGAGATGGAGGGAAACTGGCTGCTGAACTTGGGACCCATGGAACAGCACAGTGGTGAATTGCTCAGGTTTTCTGTTTGCCTCATCCATCCCAGACTTGGAGCTAAAGAAGGTGGCAACCAGGAATCGCCAATGGGCATAGACAAGAAAAGCCTGCACAAAAGCAGGCTCTTTCTAGCCAGAGGACCGGGAAAGGTGAAAAGCTTAGCAAGACAGAAAACTTTTAGATAATAACTACATTGCTCCAGCCAAAAACCACAGAAAAACTGTGTCCACCCTCACTTTCACCCGCAGAGGCTGAGTGAGAGTGTTGGTTTCCACCCTTACCAGGCTGTAACAAGGTGTCCCCGCACAGAAAGAGAGCCAGGACTTCATCCCTGGTGAGTGATAATAGGGGCTGCCCCTTCCAGTGTCAGTCGTGGCCATGGACAAAGTAATGAGGCACTCTTACCCTTCCCAGCAGGGGTCATGTCACCACAGGTCTGGTAGGGAACTAGAACTTCCACTTCTGCCCAGCAGTTACAGGGTCCCCTTCATCCCCTAGGTATCCAAGAAGGCCAAGTGGGGAATGGATTTCCACTCTGACCTAGTAGTAATGAGGTGCTGTAATCCCTTCTCCTGCTGGATAGTGTCAGAGGAAGTCAGGTTGAACAGAGGTTTCAATAAGATCTACAGCTTATAATGTAATACCCAGATGTTCAGATTTCAATTACAAATCAATTATCATACCAAGAACCAGGAAAAACTTGAATGAAAAAAGGCAATAAACACCAACACAGATGACAGAGATATTAAAATTATCTGACAGATTTTGAAATCAAGATCATGAAATTGCTTCAAAGTGAGAAAAAAAAATTAGTTTCAGCAAAGAAATAAAAGACATAAAGAAGAACCAAATGGAAATAATAGATATGAAAAATACAGTAACTGAAATAAAACAATTTTTAGTGAATGGGCTTAACAGCAGATTGGAGGCACAAAGGAAAGAATTAGTGAACTGAAAACAGAACAGTGGAATCTGTATCATCTGAAAAGAAAGTGGGCTCAAAAATAAACAGAGCCTCAGGGACCAGTGTGAATATAACAAAAGACCCAACATATGTGACATTGGAGTCTCAGAAGGACAGGAGAAAAAGGGCAAACTGAAAAAAAAATTGAAGAAATAATGCCTTTTGTTATATTTTCAGATATAACAAAAGATGTGAAGCTAGAGATTCAAGAAGCTGAGTAAGTCATAAGCAGAAAAAAACCAAAGAAATGTATACCAAGACACATCATAGTCAAATTTCTGAAAATTGGAGACAAAGAAAAAGTCTTGAAAGAAATGACACTTTTTCTACAAGGCAAAAAATGTTTAAATGACAGAGCATTTCTCATCAGAAATCATGGAGGCCAGAAAGAGTATCTTTCATGTGCTGAAATATGTCAGTATTTTTCATGTGCTGAAAGAAAGAAATTGTCAACACAGAGTTCTATATGCCATGAAAGTGTCCTTTAGGAATGAAGGGGAAATCAAGACATTCTTAAATGAAGGAAAAAAAGTGAGAATTTGATTGCAACAGACCTGTACTAAAAGAATGCTAAAGGAAGTTCTTTAAACAGAAAGAAAATGACAAAAGAAGGAAATTTAGAAAATCAGGAAGGAAGAAAGAACAATGGAAAGTGCTAAAATATGGGTGGAAAACAGTGCATTTTTCTTCTCTGGATTTTCTAAATTATGTTTGATTGAGGCAAAATTTATACACTTTCTAATGTGGTTCTAGATGTGTATGTATAGGAAATATTTAAGGCAATTGTAGTATAAATGGAGTAGAATAAAGGGATGTAAAGAGAGATGAGATTTCTACACTAAATTTAAACTGGTAAAATGTTGATACCAGTAGACTGTATAAATTATGTATATATAAGTTAATAACCAGAGCAACTACTAAAAAAGCTGCATAAAGAAATATGCTGAGCGATACCATGGATAAATTAAAATAGATCCTAAAAATTGTTCAAGTAACTCACAGCAAGTCAAGAAAAATGAGTCAGAGAGAACAAACAAAACAACAAGTAAAATGACAGAATTAAGTCATAGCACATCAATGATTACATGAATGTGAAAAATCTAAATTTACCCACTAAAAGAACCTGGCAGAGTGGATTTTGAGAACTTGACCCAACTATATGCCATCTATGAGAAACTCACTTCAAAGATAAAGATGTTGATAGATTGAAAGGGAAAGGATAAAAAAGGAATATGGAAAAAATAATCAAAAGAAAGCAGGAGTGACAACATCACATAAAGTAGACTTCAGAGCAAAGAAAACTACCAAAGAGATGGAACATTAATTAAATTAAAAACTGTGATGATTAATGATAAAGGGTCAGTCTACCAGGAAGACAGATGTGTATGCACTAATCAACGGATTTGTAAAATATGTGAAGCCAAAACTGATAGAACTGAAAGAAGAAAAAGATCCACAATTTTTGCTGTACACTTCAACACCCCTTTCTCAATAATTGATAGGACGGCTATCAATTAAAAATCAGCCAGGATATAGGAAAACTCGATACTATTATTAACTAAGAGACTCTATCAACATTTACAGAAAACTCTACCCAACGACAGAATAGCCACTCCTTTCAAGTGCCCGTGAAGTATTGCAAAGATGGACCATATCCAGGGCCATAAAATAACCTCAACAAAGTTTTAAAAGTTGAAATCATATGGAATGTTTTTTCTGACCGCATTGAAATCAAATTAGAAGTCAATAACAGAAGGATCACAGGAAACTTTCCGAATCCTTAGACACTATGCAGCACACTTCTAAACAAACCATGGCTCAAGGAGTAAGTCTCCAGGGAAATTAAAAATACATTGAACTGAAGGGAAATGAACATATCCATATGAAAACCTGTAACGTGATTAAAGCAGTGCTGAGAGGGAAATTTATGACACTAATTGCTTGAAAAAGAGGAAAACACTCAAATACATGACCGAAGCTGCCACCTGAAGAATTTAGGAAAAAAAAAAAAGACCAAAATAAACCCAAAGCAAGCAGAAAGAAGGCACTAATATAGGTAAGAGCAGATCAGTGAAATTGAAATCAAGACAGTAATAGAAAAAAATGAATCTAAAAGCTGATTATTTTTAAAAGATTAATAAATTCAACAAATCTCTAAAAAAAACACTGACAATGATAGAGAAGGTACAAAATATTCATATCAGGGATGAAATGGCATATAACTACACACCCTGCTGATGTAAAAAAAGCATCTTATGTGATTTTCATTCTCACCACAAAAACGATATGTACATGAGATGACAGATATGTTAATTAGAAGGAAAGATCTTTGAAGTAAAGGAATTGTTCTGTATTTTGACTGTATCAGTTTGGATATCCTGGTTGCGACACTGTACTACAGTTCTGCAAAATGGTACCATTGGGGGAACCTGGTAAAGAGTACGGGAGGTTTCTTTGTATTATTTTTTACAATAGCATATGAATCTACAATTATCATAAAATAAAAGCTTAGCAAAAAAAAAAAAAAACTCATGAAAATCTCTAAAAAGAAAACCTAAAATTGTTTCCTAGAGGAAAATTATGAGATAGCATCCAACCTTTTTTCCCCTTTCATTCGTATATTTAATATTAACGTGTCTAAAACTAAAACAAATGGAAGAAAGTTTCCCACTTTTTGTTTAATTGAACCATTAATGTTAGGAACAGCATAGTTACTTATATTACTTTTCAATTATGTTTAGGTTTTTTTTTCTTCTTTGCAGCCATATCTTTTCAAAAGGAGTTCTTTAAAATATTTGATAAAGTGTGGAAATTTACTAGAAAAGCATGGAAATGGAGGAGAAGCATAACAAAATACTTTTGAAAAACAGCATTTAGATTGCTTGGTTGAGTTAAGAATTCTGAGAGTATACAAGAGACTAATGCATTGTAGAATTGAGAAGGATGACACATAGGACTATTTTGCAGCCTTTTTGATGCTTTGGTTTCTTTTGGATTGAGTGATAGACAATGATTTGTCACCTGTTAGGCAATAATTTATGCATATTCAAAAACAGGTTTTGAACATCTTCACTTTTATAATCTTTGCTGTGTCATTCCTAAATTCACTGTTCTTTCCCACCTCATTCTTCCACTTTCTTGTCTTTCCAAACTTTTAGATCAATATGCTTCTCAATTTTAAGGATGACAAAAGTGAATGTCCATGTCCTGAAGAAATTCGTGACCAGCTCTTGGATTTCCATGAAGATTTGATGACCCATTGTGGTAAGGTGTTTTTGGTTTACAACTCTTATTAAATGTGTGTTTTTAAACCACATATTCTGGTAAAAAATTAGGTATATATGTGAATATGTCCACAAATACACACGATACTTGTTAGAAGTTCATATAGGAACATTTATGATGGGCAAACAGTTAACTGTCCCTGTGTGGGAAGTCAGGAGGGATACAGAAATCAGAGAGGCAATAAGACAAAGCAGAAGATGACCAGGATCCTTTCTCTCTTTTCCCTCTTTCCTTCAATGGCAGGGAATGGGAAGGGGGGATGGGATCACGTGGCCAGTTGCTTCTGGTTGAGAGGTTAAGTGTCAGGCAGGTTTAGTTAATGGATACAAAGTTTCAGTTACACATATGAGTAAATTTTAGAGATCTGCTATATAACATAGTGCCCATCGTTAACAATACTGTATCATGCACTAAAAACTTTGTTAAGAGGGTAGATCTCATTTTAAGTGTTCTTATTACAACAAAAACAAACAACAAACAAACCAAAAGCCAAAGAAGCACAAGCAGAGTTACAGGTGATGGATTTATGTCTATTCCTTCATTGTGGTGATGGTTTCACAGTTGTATGCATGTGTCCAAACTCATCAAATTGTGTACATCAAATATGTGATATTTTTGCCTATCAATTATACCTCAATAAAGCTGTTTTGGGGGGATTTTTAAAAATAAATTTAATTACAAACCATTGTATTAAAACTGGTTGAGGGGCCACCTTTTAGGACAGGCTTAGGAAATCCACCATATAACTTTTGAAATTAACGAATGCCTAAGGAAATCCTACAGAGTTACACGTCAGTAGTTCAAGTTTATTAAGGGAAAACTCCCCTCCTTTTATTCTAAGAACTTTTAAAATGAAATTGAATAAGTGTTGTAGATATGTAATTCTTTATTCCATTATGCAGTGGTGTGGGTAAGATGTGTGATTCAGTAAAAGAAAAATGAATTAGTCGTTTTTCAAGTGATAAATATAGCACCATGGTATTATTTTTATCTTATTTTAATGAAGACAACAAAAACACCATCTTGCATATTAATTCAGATTATGAATGAAGAACCACTAAATGATTGCCAGAAAATGTATATACTGTAAATAAAGGGATACTCTAAAATGGTAGAAGTATTGCTTCAGATATAAATTATTCTTTGGTTTAGGGTGCCTGTTTATGCCTGTTCTCTCTGGCTCAGCTTATCAGAGTACCACTGACGTTTTTGGAGCAAGAGAGGAGGATAAAAGTCTAGGAGGAGTTTTAGGCAGAGTAGGACTATAGGTCTAGACAGAGATGCCAAAAGGTCAGCCCAAATAGCAGACTTGATCTTTGCTATTAAGAAATTCTTTCTATCTCTGCTTGGTTTTACACTTTGTCCTGGCTGTTGATAGCCCTGAGCCCACAGAAACAGGAAAAAGAGAAAGGAGGAAAGGAGGCCACGAGGTGAACCTTATTTATGAGTACTGGTAGACAAGATGGCTTAATTCATTGTTGTCAACTGTTTTAGACATTGCTCTAAAACGAATGGAGAAATTTGCAAGGCCTGAGAATTATTTGCCCAAATGTTGTTTGTGAATAAATTTTTCTTTTCTGTCTTTTTGTACTAGGAATTGAGCTGGATGAAGATGGGTCTCTGGATGGGAACAGTGATTTAACAATTAGAGGGCGTCTGCTGTCCCTGGTAGAAAAGGTGACATACCTGAAGAAGAAACAAGCAGAAAAACCGGTTGAGAGTGACTCCAAGAAGTCCTGTAAGCAGTGTGAAAGGGAACTGGCAAAGTGACTCAGCTGCTGACATTTATTCATCCTTTGGAGGAGTATCATACTAGATGAGCCAGTGAGATAGCTGAGTTTGCAGCTTCCAAGAATCAGATTCTTAAGCAGATGCCTGTAGCTCCCAGATGCAGATAGCAGCACCAAACTGTATTTGTAGGAATAGGTTGAGAGGTAGCAGCATTATAAAGGTGGATGGGCTCCCTAGAGAACTAAAAATTTAGGTATTTGCCTTAAGCAGATGCCTGTAGCTCCCAGATGCAGATAGCAGCACCAAACTGTATTTGTAGGAATAGGTAGAGAGGTAGCAGCATTATAAAGGTGGATGGGCTCCCTAGAGAACTAAAAATTTAGGTATTTGATCAGAAACTAACAAGAGAAAGTATAAAGCAGTAATTTAGCCTTCATATCTAAATATGATGCAGTTGATTTTCATATATTATTGCATCAAGTTAAACCTTTTTCTTAAAATTTAAGTAGACATTTTTTTGTATTTCGGTTCTGAGATATTTCCTAAAGTGTTAAGCGTTTCTGGTTCATCCATATTCTATTTAACTAAGATAATGGCTGCTACTCCTTGAAACCAAGTAAGTACCTTCAAGGGGTGAGTCCTTTGCATCCGGAAGGAGTCAAGGTGTGAGTCTAAGAGGTCCAGCTTGCTTCTTACCTTGCTTCTAAGACCACTTATTTTAAGATGCAGTGCTGGCTCATAAACAGCTTTTTCTATGAGAAAAAAATAAACTCACTAAAATTTTTATAGGTTATTTTTTAAAACTAACATAATGGATAATCTTTATCCATACAATTACTTCAAAATTTATTCTTTAATGTAACAATCAAATTTGAGTCAGGTTGTATTTAAAACTGAAGTTTCTTATGAATTACTTTTTGTTCTTATCAGGTTAATGATCTTGAACGTTTATAGTGACAGCATGATTTTGAGATTGAGTTGACTCTTGAACAACACAGGTTCGAACTACAAGTAAACAGGTGCACAGGGCCAAATACTGAAGAAATTAACTACTCAAGTTATTTAACTAGTTAAGAAAGACCTTGTGGAAAATTATATCTGCTTTTCCACTGTGCGGGAGGTTAGCACCCCTACCCACCACTGCCACCACCCACCCCACCCCACTGATTCAAGAGTCAACTGTATGTGAAAATACATTGGCATTTTATTTGCATTTTGTATTTGGTTAAAATTGTTAGGATTTTTTTTTCTTTAATTAATGTCTAGATGCAAGTTAAATAGCTTCTTTTGAAAATCAGCCAAGTGTGTTAATGATAGGAATTAAGTACCTCACTATGTATGAATCCATCACATCAACCCCACTTAATTTTGGTAACTTTACTGTTTATTTTAAGAGGTTTGGAAGTTTCTATTGCTTTTAAATGAACTATATTACCTGTTACTTTGCAAGCAATCTTCTGTGTATGGAATAACTTTTCACTTTAATACAGCTTCACAATTATATTCTTTTGAAGACATTTTAAGTGACAATTCGGGATCTAAATTTAAGCAAAAATATAATTACCTATGGTCACTGTTGCAAGTGACTCAACTTAGGGGATAATTGGATAAGTAAATATCTCCTTAGATGTCTGTGACTGAGCTTTATAGGGATATGTGAGGTCAGACCTTCTGGGAGGGAAATAATGGAACAAAGTAAATAAAAGTAAGAGCAATGTGCAGTAAGAGTAACAAGGATATATTACTTGCCATACTTTCAATTACTTATGGATTGCCAACAGTAATTTTGAAAAAGTAGTAGCAACTTTAAAAGAGCCTATTTAATAATGAGAATGGTTTTTAAAGAAGGGTTTGCATATTTTTATCCTCGCATGACCATAACTGATATGTATTGAAATATATATACTGTTTAAATGAAGCTCACTTTCTTCAAGGAATATTCCTAACCTTTAAATTCTGGTACAAATAGAGTTACCAGTTTGGGACTATGGGATATGGAGTTGAATTGTCCAACTGATTTGTCTTCTTTTATTATTTTCCTTTTTTAAAAAAAAAAAATATCCATCGTGACCTTGCAGCCAGTCTTCAGCAGTTGATTTCTGAGACCATGGTTCGTTGGGCTCAAGAGTCTGTCATTGAGGACCCTGAGTTGGTGAGAGCCATGTTTGTGCTGCTCCATCGACAGTATGACGGCATCGGAGGTCTGGTTCGGGCTCTGCCAAAGACCTACACTATAAATGGTGTCTCTGTGGAGGACACCATCAACCTACTGGCATCTCTTGGTCAGATTCGGTCTCTACTGAGTGTGAGAATGGGCAAAGAAGAAGAGAAGCTTATGATTCGTGGATTAGGGTAAATGATTTAAATATTACAACCCTTTATCTTATAAATTTCTTCTAATTTTTTATCTCGATGATAGTAAAGTACGTGCATTAATGCAAATGTACTGTCGAGATGATATGATCATTAAATTAGGTTGTGGTTTTTCTGGAGATTATGTTTTTAAGCTAAAGAAGAAAGTTTCTCAGTCACAAAATAAGACTAATTTTACAGCTAAACATTAAGGTGGCGTGCACACAGCAAACATCTTAGAGTGGTTTTTTTTGTTTGTTTTGTTTTTTGATCTCTCAGTAATGTACGATTGTATATAAAAACATAGGATAATAAAAACACATTGAAATCCGTGGTGGGTCGGAGAAAACACTCACCAGCAGGAATTAATAAAGAAGCTTCTCTGTATCTATTGGGCCTTGGGGAAATAAGAGGGAGGGGACAACTCTTCCAAGGATTCAGCCTCATGGGCATGTGCTTCATGTGGACTTGGGGGTTCAAGGTCACACCCCATATCCAAGAGTGAGGGTAACACAAAGACATTTCAGAATACTTAATACAGTCTGTCATTGAAATAGCTTCTAAAGTTGCTATTCTAAAGGGTATCCATCAGGAAATAGAAAATGAAATTCAGAGGGAGAGAATGGGATGCAGTAGGTTTCAGTGTGTATGCTACTGGTATGCATATGTGTAAATTTAAGCAATATGAATAAGCTTGCCTAGTTTGGAGATGTGAAAATAAGATACACTCAAAACAATAACAAATGAAAACTGTATATATTAAGCTATACCATGTTCATAAGAAAAATACCTAAACATAAAGCTAGAATGTAGAGTTTTAAAAAGTGATGAAAGACAAATATTCAGCAAAAAAAAAAAAAAAGACTTAATGTAGTTATATAAATACTAGACAAAAGAGGAGATAATGAAGGTAACTACAGCGTAAATAAAATAGATCACAAAGAAAAATAGAATCGATCAAGGAAACCTAGAGTTAGTTCTTTGGGAAAAAACTAACGAAATAGAATGACCAGGTTTTTTTCTCTGACATAACTCAAAAATAATCCTGCGGAAAGAAAACAAGTGTGTAAAGTTATAGATTGTTTAACAACATTTATGTGCATTTTAAATCAGAACATAATACTGTATATGGCTTGTGGGCCTGTTAAATATTTAAAGTTATAAAAATGGACTGGAAGGTTATATTCCAAATTCATGATAACAGTTGCATACTAAAAATAACTATACCGACAGGAAAAAATTAGCAAAAACAAAAAAAAACTTACATAAAAAACAAATATTATGGTCTTTATTTGTAATCGTATGAGCATTGGTCTTATTTGTACTAATACTTAAATCTAACCTGAGGAGGCGTCTCAGAAGAGATCTTAATTAACCAAATGAAAAAGAAAGCCTTCCAGGAAATGGAGATTACTTTGCTTCTTAAATGAGCATATAGCAATAATATGTGCCATTAACAAATAAATCATTGATTAGTGATAAAACTCAAAATGATATTAAAATAAAATGCTACCTTTTGTGGTATTAGAAATATTTCCACGTAAAAGATATACTTAGTAAATGACTGCCTGCCTACTGCGTGGTAGAATTTTGAATGTATTTAATTTACCTAAAACTAAAAGCAAACAAGGTTTTTAAATCAGTAAGTTCATTCAAAAAGATTTGAATTAATGAGAGAAGAAATACAGGGATTACAGCCATGGTTCGAGCGTTGAAAATTTTGTTGCCAAATACATTGTGGTCTGACAAGAAGGAGAAAGATCGCTTGTTTACTTTGTTCTCACATGAAATAAGTCAGACCTTTATTAGTCCTGGGCCCCCAGATGGTTGTTCTGAGCTGTTCTATCTAAAAGCTCTCTTTATTAAAAAAAAAAAAAAAAAAAAAAATTACAACAATCATACTATTCCACTTTCTTGCCAGAGTAACTAGAATTTAGTATATAACTAAATGAATAAGTGAGTGATCCAATTAAGGAAATCAGTTTTGAAGAGAAGGTTTCAGTTTTTTTGAGGGATGTATGTTATTTTCTTGCTATAAGTTCTGACAAGGAAGAGTTTTCTAGAAAAGACTCTTGCATTGATTTGATTTATGTTGAAATAGACATTAATAGAGCTGTTTATTTGCAATGAGCGATACTTCCTACTGAACATTAAGAACCTCAGAAATACCTTGAGACACATATTGCAATAGTATAACACCCAGTAATGAAACTTTTTAGGTGTCATCTTCTGCTGTTTCTTTAAATTCAATGTCCATTTTCATGAGTTGGATTACTTGTACTCGGACTTCATGTGTATTCATTTTCTCTTGGAGAATACGCATCCTTTAAAACATTTTGCCAGACTGATAGCATGAATGTAACAGGAAATAACACTACTGTAATTATATATGCAAATATTGAATGTAGTGTTAAAAATAGCATATATAGGAAAAGCATAAATACTTATATATCAAGAATTTATGTAGGAATTTTTATATACACATGATATAGCACTGATTCATATTTCTATACAAAACAGGCTTGAACACATGGTTGAATATCCCTATAATTAGGAATACTAAGTATCTAAAATATATTTCATACAAACTAATGTTTACATATGTAGTACATTTCTTGTAATTGAAAATGATATACCACTTTTGGTAGACTGTCAGTATTTTTGAGGCAAACTCAATGAATTGAACTTATTGACTTTTGCAGCTTAACTATCATTGCTCTTAAATTTCTGTACACCTAAATTATTTCTAAAAGATTCATCAGAATCTCAAGTAAAGCTTCATTTAAATTTTTCGCTGAACTCTGTGCTTTTCCCCTTACCTTCACTGTCCTTTCTAGGGATATCATGAATAATAAAGTGTTTTACCAGCATCCTAATCTCATGAGGGCCCTGGGGATGCACGAGACAGTGATGGAGGTCATGGTGAACGTCCTCGGAGGTGGGGAGTCCAAGGTAAAGGAACATCTTCAATTCTTGGGATTCCACTTAGTATAGGCTCCTGCATGGACTGCAGTTCTTAAGGAGAATTTCTTAAATTCTCTTAGGAGGACTGTTTTATAAAGAACACCTTTTGAAAAAAACAAAAAAAACCTTAGAGTTGAGATTTGGATGCACTACTAGTTTTTTTTCGTTTTGTTTTGTTTTATTTTGTTTTCTCTTCCTTGATCTTGATAACAGTTTCTATCTTATGTAATTTGTCTCCTAAATTATTCTCATTTAGGGGATATTTAGAAACTTTAAAAGTTAATGCTATACCAATTTACTTTTATATTTTGAATTATGTCAGTTCCCATCACATTACAAGTCTATTACACAAGCATGTTCTTCAGACCCAGCCCTTCTCCATGATTCAGACGATGGTTGGTTTCATTAAATCTCTGATCCAGATCAAGATTTGATGATGATGCTCTGGAATGTATTTGTTGTAAGACTCTGAGATGAACTTTTAAGTGATTACAAATTAAAGTTCTTGAAAACCAAATTAGTAGAGTAATGTAATAAACAACTTCATATAAACCAGTATAATTCCATAACGTCTGATATACAAAATGTATTTCTCTATTTTAAATTTTAATGTGTTTTTTACAATATGGAAGTAAGTGTATATTTCCCATGTTCAGTCTTTCTACCAGTTAGACAGACTTATAATGATATTCATAATATATCCTCTTGACCAAGGACTGCAGGGAACATCTGGGCTATGCTGTGTCAAGATCTGGCCCTGTAGGGAGGTGTGTTTGCTGGAGTATACCAGACAGCCTTCCAGTCAGGACGTTCATCTCAGTAGGCAAGTGTTGTGCTAATCAGGGAGGTATGAATCCCCAGAATCTCAATAATTATAATAATAATAATGATGATGATGATAATAGTAATTCTGATAAGAACACTGTTATGTGGTGTCAAGTACTGAACTGTGTATCTTTCAGAAATTATCTCAATGAATCCTCCATTCTTACCTAAAGTAAATATTATCTGTATTATCCCAATTTTATAGAACAGATTCAAAGAGATTACATAATTTTCACAAGGAAACATAACTAACAGTGGTATCCAGGAATCACACCTGAGTCTTCCGGATTCCTAAACCAGGCTCATGCCACCTTTGGCTTTAGAGCTATAGATATATTCCAGATCCCACCTGTTGATGGTGTTGGGAAAATAGAATAGTTTGGTCAGAGCCCTTGCCTAGGGTCCAGTTGGGCGCAATTCAGCATCCTTTGTAAGCAAATTGTGTGTGTGTGTGTGGAGTTAGTGCGCATGCATGCCAATGTATCTTTTTAGTTTTGTTGCTATTCTTGTGTTCTTGAGAAAGAGGAGACAGAGAGAGAGAGAAAGGGAAGGGGGAGAGAGAGAGAGAGTTTGGCGAAGCAGGTGGGTGGGCGTCGGCCTTGGGCATCTGCCCGGTGCTCAAGGTCTAGGGGCATCACAGTCTGCAAATTTGAAGGTCTTCAATATCTAAGGTTTAGGACACGTGGAAACACACTGATTGACAAAATGATTGAGACCTCAACTTCTAAACTCAATTTTGTAAAGATATTTGCTTTCAGTAACTAACTCAATGCTGTTTGTATAGGAAATCACCTTTCCCAAGATGGTGGCCAACTGTTGCCGTTTTCTCTGCTACTTCTGTCGTATAAGTAGGCAGAATCAAAAAGCTATGTTTGATCATCTCAGTTACTTACTGGAAAACAGCAGTGTTGGTCTCGGTAAGTAAATGTATGTCTTTTGCTTAATCTTTAATATAAAAATAGCATACATATTACAAGTAAATTTAAACTTTATGTTAATAAATAAGCAAAAGACCTGAGTAGATATTTCTGAAAAGAAGGGATGCAAATGGCCAACAGGTATATGAAAAAATGCTCAACAGCACTAATCATTAACAAAATGCAGATTAAAACTACAATGAGATGTCACCTCACACCTGTTAGAATGGCTATCGTCAAAAAGACAAAAGGTAAGTGTTGGCGAGGATGTGGAGAAAAGGGAGCCCTTATGCAATGTTGGTGGGAATGTAAATTAATACAATCATTTGGAAAACAGTATGGAGGCTCCCTGCAAAATTAAAAATAGAACTCCCGTATGATCCATCAATTTCACTTCTGGGTATATATCCAAAGGAAATGAAATCAGTATGTTGCAGAGATATCAGTACCCCAATGTTTATTGCAGCATAGTTTGTAGTAGCCAAGATACGGAATCAACCTAAGTGTCCACCAGTGGATAAATGGATAAAGAAAATATAGTTTATATACATGATGGGATGCTAGTCAGCCATAAAACGGAAGAAAATCCTGTCATTTGTGACACATGGATGAATCTGGAAGACATTATTTGAAGTGAAACAAGCCAGGCAAAGAAAGACAAATAGCACATGATCTCACTTATATGTGGAAACTAAAAAGAGTTGAACTTATAGAAGCAGAGAGTAGAAAGGTGGTTACCAGGGACAGGGGGAAGGGGGATGAGGAGATGTTGGTCAAAGGATGCAAATTTCCAGTTGCACAGGAGGAGTAAGTTCAAGAGAACTGCTGTACAACATGGTGACTATAGTTAATAATAATATCGTATTCTTGAAAATTGCTAAGAAAATAGATTTTAAGTGTTCTCACCATGAAAAATGATAAGTATGTGAAGTAATGCATATATTAATTTGATTATTTGTTGTTCCACAATATATACATATTTCAAAGCATCGTGTTTTACACAATAAATATATATAAACTTGTCAATTAAAAATATATTTTTAAAATTAAACTTTAACATAAGTCAATTTAGATTAGTGCAATATTATGGAATTTACATTTTAAGAGGTAGTGTAGTTTTACACGGGATTCATAGTTGCAGCACAATCCAGGGTTTATTTCATCTTTGTTTGAATTAATAGCCTCACCAGCTATGAGAGGTTCGACACCACTGGATGTGGCAGCAGCCTCGGTGATGGATAATAATGAACTTGCCCTAGCTCTGCGCGAGCCAGATCTGGAAAAGGTGAGCAGTGCTCCTGCCCTGTGTGTTTGTGCAAATTATGCTCATGCATAGCTTCTCAAGATGATTTAAATATAAACAACTGTATTATAGTTATATTAGGATTATAGTATATTATTATACTATACATTATTCACTGTATGTTATATATATAATATATATAATGCTATTATATATATTATATTATAGTTAGAAGTTAAGAACAAGAAGTTGAGGTAACGTCTTTCCTCTAATCACAAGCGTTTTTCTGTGGAACAGGAATCAACTAACTGTATTTGTGTGTGTTTTTGTCTTTTCATAATATCTGCTGTCACTTTCATTTTAATTGTAGTTTCAGTTACTTAAAAGGTTGTTTTAATGTCTCATACATATAATTCCTTCCTCACACGTGTCTGTGTGTTCCAGTGCAAAGCATCAGCAAGCTACTGAGGCCATGCCCTCTAATCATACTGAGCCGCACATATGTTTACCAGCATGTAGAGAAGTTCTCCTCTATTGTAGCTGCAGTAGAATCCTAAGTGGTCCCCTGATCCTTCCTGTGCCCCCCCTAGAGTCTGTTCTTACCTGAGCAGCCAAAGTGATCCTCTTAAAAGGATCCTGTCCGTCATCTGCACAGGACTCTTTGAAGAATTACTATCTCACTCCTAGTAAAACCCAAAACTTGTGATAGCTTCCGCGCCATCTGATCTCACATATCGGTCTGATTTTGTCTCCTACAACTCTCCTGCTCTTTTTCTTTGCTCCAGCCATACTGGTCCCCTTCTTGTAGCTGGAGAATTCTGGGTGTGCTCCTGTCTCAGGGCCGTTGCACCTGCTGTTCCCTCCATCTGCAATATCCTTACCCCAGATACCATCACGGTTCTTTCCCAGACATCCTTCCAGAGTCACCTTATCAGCTCTTCCACGTTCATGCAATTTAAAATGGAAACTTCTTCTCCAACCTCCTTAAGCTCTTCCTATTCCCTTTACTGCTTTATTTTCAACAGCTGAAAATACGCATATTTGTGTATACACACACACACACAATATGTGTTTTAAATATATGGCTTAAAATATATTTATATTTAAAATAAATATATTTTATTAAAATATATATTTATGTATTTTAAAAAATCTGTTCCCTATATAATGTCAAGCCAGTGAGTGAGGTCAAAGTGTTTTTTCTATTAACTGCCTTGTCCCAGTCTTAGAGAACAGCATTGGCATTGGGCAGACACTCAGTGCATAGCATTGGCTTTGGGCAGACACTCAGTGTATAGCACTGGCACTGAGAAGACAGTGCATAGCACTGGCACTGGGCACTCAGTGCATAGCATTGGCACTGGGCAGGCACTCAGGGCATAGCATTGGCACTGGACAGACAGTGCATAGCACTGGCACTGGGCACTCAGTGCATAGCTGTTGAGGGTGTGAAGAGTGAATGCTTCCCCAGATCCTTGCAACATGCCAGTCCAGAATCATGAGGCTTTGCACCCTGACCCACTTCAGGAGACTTTTCTCACATATATCACTTAAAACCTTTTTATCTACATGCTCATTAAAATGGCAAATATTAAAAAGGTTGATAATATCAAACATTGAAGAGGATGTGTAACAACTAGAATTTCCACAGGCTGCTGTTGGGATGAATAATGGTACAGTCAGTTTGGAAAGCAGTGTGGCAGTTTCTTAACAAGTTAAATGTACACCTACCATAAACTATACACTTAGCCTTTCTAGTCTTAGGAGTTTATTAATAGAAAGAAAGATATATATCCATACAAGGACTTGGACATGAATGTTTATAGCAGTTTTATTCATCATAGCCCAGTTTTCTTAGCAAGCAACAAAACTGGGGTATACCCACATACAGTGGGATGCTATTTAGCAATAAAAAAGAGAACTGACATAGGCAACAGTGTGAACGGATCTCAGAACCATTATGCTGAGTGAAAGAAGTCAGGCACAGAAAGATATACATTGCCTGGTTATGTGTGTAAATGTTCTAGAAAAGACAAGCTAATTTTTAGTGAGAGAAAGCAGATTATCTGAGCTAGGTTTATAAGGCGAAAGGGACTCCAAAGGGCACAGGGAAACTGAGGAGTGGTGGAAATGTTCTGTCTTGATTGTGGTGTGTTCTCACAAATGTATACTCCTCTCAAAGCTCAGTGAATTTACGCCTGAAGTTGGTGACTTTATTGTACATCAGTTATACCTCAGTATAGTTGGATTAAAATATTTTAGCTGTATCACTTACTTCTTTTAGAAACTGATTAAGCTTGAGCTGGATGTAACGATCTGTTTAAGTTGCTTCTCTAACCGTGTTATTACAATTGGTCGTAACTTCTTTTGGGATTTCTTTTAAAGCTGAATCTCTTGTGAAATGTTATGGAAGACCAGCATTCCTATAAAACAAAATATTTAAAAAGGAAAAGCTAGGCAGAAATATTTAATGTGCTGATAAATTCATCAGTACTGACAAGTAGGTAGTGTTATCAAGTTTTCTGGATGCTAAAACCAAAAAGTATGAGTAATTTGCTCAAAATGAGCCATTTAGTAAGGGATATGGGTCTGATTTGATCCAAGGATATTTGACTCTAGCTTAGGTATTCTCTACTTCTGGGTGTCTTCTCACACCTGCTCCCCAGTTAAATTAATGTATCATTTTGGAAATAATTCACCTCCTTAAAATACCATTGCATCTCAGATAGATATTTCAGTATCTCTAATTGATTCAGTTTTTTTACTTGGAGCCAGAGGTCATTGCATAGTTTTGAAGTTATCAAATATTTTGACTTTTTTAAGTAAAAGTCTCAAATTATATGAAATTCAGGAATATTTTTCTTACATAGAGTTGGTTTTTAAATATTTTTATTATGGTGGCACTTTATTATGATATTTAAATATTTCTTAATTCTAAGGTTTTACGAATGGACGTTCTTGTGGATTATCATGATATTAAAAAGAATTTGCCAAAGTGCATTTGTTTTTAAACCATTCTTTGAGGATATCATTTACCATATCTAGTATAAGTGTCTAATGACTTTTCATCCAAGGGATAATTCTTTGCTTATCCCCTTGTTTGTAGGTAGTTCGTTATTTGGCTGGCTGTGGACTGCAGAGTTGCCAGATGCTGGTGTCTAAGGGTTATCCAGACATCGGGTGGAATCCAGTTGAGGGAGAGAGATATCTTGACTTTCTCAGATTCGCTGTCTTCTGTAATGGTAGGACTTGATTGCTTGAGGTCTTTTTTGGACATTGTTAAATCTGCTTAAAAATAGATACATATATGTAATAAGGATTCATCCCAACATTTTGATGAAAGTAGTGAATATTAATAAAGAAATTGCATATTTTATAATCAATAGGGGTTTTCACAGTAATAATTTATTATACAATATCATTTTCATAGTGCTTTTATTATTTAAATTGAAATCTTTGGGAATCTAAATTCTTACAAATTTTTATAATTGAATTCTAATAATAGTTAGGATTATGACATCATTTCTAATAACAAGTTAATGAGAATGAGTATTCCTCTATAATGCTTTTCTTTGAACATTTCGAGTGCAAGAAAAGAAATTTACTGTATCTTGTACACACAAAAATAGTAATTTGGATTAAATTTTGGCTTTATTGGAACGTGCTTGGGTTTTAGTTTTTTTTAAATAAGAAATGACTTGTATAACATTTATTTGCTCAACACTTCCATATAATCAGTATTTGTTTATTTATGTTCCCCATTTGACTTCAGGAGAGAGTGTGGAAGAAAATGCAAATGTCGTGGTGAGACTGCTCATTCGGAGGCCTGAGTGTTTTGGTCCTGCTTTGAGAGGGGAAGGTGGGAATGGTCTTCTTGCAGTCATGGAAGAAGCCATAAAAATAGCTGAGGATCCTTCCCGAGATGGTCCCTCACCAACTAGCGGATCCAGTAAAACACTGTAGGTAAAATGTATAAACCTTCATTAGTAAATTGTATGAGGGTACTTCAACAAATTCATGGAAAAATAGAATTAAAAAATAGTACAAATCCTTCCATGAACTTTCTGAAGTACCCTTGCACTGTTTGACTTGAAATTTTACAAAATATATTTTGCATTCTTTTAATTGCAATATAATTTCAGGTACTAAAGGTTTCTGCCCTTGAATATAGAGTGTCTTGAACTTGAAGGAATGGATGGAACTTGCTGATGGAATAGGTTGAATTAGCCAAGAGAGAGCTGGGGAAGATTGTGTGGATTTAGCAGAGAAAAATTTATGTTGTAGGAGGAGATGCATCTTGTGGCTTTTCCCAGGGGAGCTGGGCAAAGTGGGTGGTTACAAATGATGGTAGATGAGCCTTTGGAATGGGACTGCAGTTGAGTGGGAAGGTGGCTTGCGTGAGTCTTTATGATAATAGAGAGAAAGAGCCCTTTATCAGGAGAATGGGGATTTGACTAAGCTGGTAAGGAGGTAAAGTCCAGAAAAGACGATGTCATTCTGAGGAGTGAAATGCTTGTTTTAGGCCCTGGAGACAGATGAGGGAGGCAGATGGGAAGGCGGCCATTATCTTAGATTTCTCTGTAGTATACATTGTTAATACTTGATACCAGGAATGGACATTAAGTCAGGATGTTGTTCATCTATGCCTTCCCTTTTTTTTTTAATCTGTAGAAGTGCATGTCCTCCTGGGGGGTCATAAACCACACTGCTAGCGTCAAGCAGAGAAGGAATCGAGTGTACACAGTCCCGTAAACCTTTATTCTTCCACACATATATTGGGCATAGAGGTTCTGTCCACCCCAAGGGCAGATTTCCAGACTGGGAGCACACTTCGAGAGCAAGCATGAGCTCCCCTCACCAGCCCCCCAAACACACACCATGTTACATGTTTATCAGTCAGTCACAGAGGAACTAGGGACCCCTTAGTTGCTCCCAGTAGTAGGAAGTGCATCTAGAGATCTCTGGCTTAGGACCATGCCAGCGAGTGTGCACTGAGGGCCCTTCAGACAGCCTTGCATGCCCAGGAACGAAATTATCAGCCAAGGCCTCGCTGTCACTCTGCAGACTGAGGCAGCTGCCTTCTGAGCATCACAGAAAAGATGTGAGCCTCCAGGGCCATCCAGACTTGTCTGTCATCAGCAAGATCACGAAGTATTTATTATTTTCTCACTGAGGTGGGAGGGAGACATGTTGATTATTTAGGGGATGGGAGCGGGAAGGGAGGGTGAAGAGGAAAGTGAGTAAATGAGATAGCATTTATGAGGTATTTACTCTAGGCAGAGCACTGTAGTGGGTGCCTTACATATGCTGTCTTATGTAACAGCTCTTTGTCACCCTCTCTCTAGTGCGTGCTAGGTGCAAAAGTATTCTAAACTTACACAGTCCTTCCATCAGTTAACTTCCTTTGTGAATACGTGGTCTGCCACTAGAAATGAGCAGAATCTATAAAATTAGTAATTCCTCTTTTTCCCTTTTGAAGGAATCTTAATACTAAATTCCCACAGATGTGTTCTTGGTGATAGAATCTCAGATCTGATCTTTAATCTATTGTTGTTTTCCTTTAGAAATGTCAAGCTGTGTATTTAAAACATATGTGAAAAGTATTAGAAGAAGAAAATGCATTATCTTAGTGGTCCCTTTCCTCTGGGAGATATGTCATAAACATGAAATGTCAATTATCACATTTGCTTCTCTATCTCTTTTGAAAAATCCATGGAAGTGATACAGAAGAGGAGGAAGATGACACTATCCACATGGGGAACGCGATCATGACCTTTTATGCAGCTTTGATTGACCTCTTAGGACGCTGTGCCCCGGAGATGCATGTGAGTGCCTGGGGCCCAGGACAGGAATTCTGGTTTATCTTGCAAAGATAACAAAAGCATCCCAAACCAATAATCTTCATGCTCCATTAAAATAATAGCTGCAGCCTAATTGCTAAACAAGTGTTTGTTTTGTTGGAAATGTCTGGTTGGTTGTAAAATTAGTAATGAGATTTCAATACAGGTCATTAATACAATACTTAGCTACTCATATATCTCTAAAACTCGTATAGCCTCCCCACATTTTAAGAAGAAAATAACATATTTTTTCTAAACAATTTCTTCTCCTATTATAATGAATTATAGTGCAAAAAGCAACCACTCCTCCCAAGAGCTGTTTTCTTTTGTACAGTATTTAATTCTACATGCTTGCCACTGGTTTAGGGGAAAGGAGGAGGCGGGAATTAAGAGCTTTTCATACCTTATAGATTAGTGTTTTCTAAAACTTTTTGACCAAGATGAAATTAAAGTTTCACGGAGTAACACTTACTTTTACTCTGTAATACAATGTAATATATTTTCCACTTTATTTTATTCTAATTGATTCTGTTTTATTCCATTTTATGCACTTAAAATATCTAAGAGAGGGCCCATAAAATCAGCTGCATGACCTGTTAATGGGAAGCAACCCAGAGTTGGTCAGTGCTGGAGTAGAAGGGCTAAGAAATACACATGCAAGTCTCAATGAGCACAAAGCCAGGGGAACTTGCTTATAGGGCACCTCTTTCCTCTGTCCTTGATATCTACATTGGTTTTGGTTGGCCTCTTTCTTTCTCACCCATAGGTTAAACCTTACTTGATATATTCTTTGATTGTGAACGGAGAGGAATCACAGGATAGAGAAATGTTAGAGTGTTAGAAAACCTACAGTCTTATTTTTGTAAAAACTTAACCTTTGCTGCTGAAGAGATTTTTCATCTTAGTAAATTGGAACAGATTATCAAAAATGTGTATGCTCGGAGTGACTGTAGACAAAAAAACTTGACGCTCACAATATTTGTTATTTTTCCCATCTCAGTGAAAAGATCAGAGGAACCAAGAGAGAAATTATGCTAATAAATAGAAGCTTTCTGTTTTACTGTCATGTCTGTATTAAGGGGGGAAAGCACTAAGTGAATTAATAAGGGACTAACCCTGGCACTTCTGAAATGTATTCATCGCTGGAACTAGTAGTTGAGGGCTCCTATGTGTCAGAAATTGTATTTGAGTTTCACACCGTGCGGTGAAGGAAGCAGATGCCCATCCTGTCTCTGGGAGCCTGCAGTCTGTTCCAGAGGCCTGAGGAGATTCTTGGCTATATCCTGATCCGCAATCATCATGCATACCTTCTTAGCCAGGGCCATTCTAAGAGTACTGTTAGCATTCATGTTCACCATTTTCCCCACATTATAAACCCATTCTTGGGATAAATCAGGGTGGAATATAAATGAATATGTAATTAATTTATCACAGAGCAAGAAAGAAGATAAATCAATCATACATATTAGTATATGTTCAGGGCCTTAAGATAATTTTGTCTTTGTATTATTGCTTATGGATGGATGGGTATTTATGTGTAATTTGCAGGGGGAGGTAAGCATTTATAGACTTACCAGATACTCAATACGTTTGCACACCGCCGAAGAAGATAAAGACTATTGTTTCAGTGGATAAATCAGTGGACCTACACTGGTTTTGTAATTATGTAATTTGGTGTATGTAATTTGTATGTAGTTTGGTGTATCTAATTATGCAATTTGGTATATGCTGAGGCCAATGAAAACTGTGTGGCCAAGTAAATATCTGCCAGCAAGCCTGAAACAACAGTTTCTGAGTCAGGTCTGACTTTATATGTGTACTTAACAGAAAATTATTATTTTATTATTTTATTTTTTTCCTTTTTTTTTTTTCCCTTTTTGTTTTTTTTTCGTGACCGGTAATGGGATCGCAACCCTCAGTGTTGCGCCCGTACCGCGACCGGCAATGGGATCACAACCCTCAGTGTCGCGCTCGCACCACATTCAACCAGTGAGCGGACCGGTCTCTATATGGGATCCGAACCCTCAGCGGGAGCGCCGCACTCTACTGAGTGCACCACCAGTCCAGCCCAACAGAAAATTATTTTTGACTTGGATTTCCATACTTCAAATTTCCTAGATAGAATTATAACACTGATTTTACAAGTTATTCTAATGTTTCTTACTTCTCTTTCTGTGTAGTTGATTCATGCCGGTAAGGGAGAAGCCATCAGAATCAGGTCTATTTTGAGATCCCTAATTCCACTGGGAGATTTGGTAGGAGTAATCAGCATTGCTTTTCAGATGCCAACAATAGCCAAAGGTAAGGGCAATTTCCACTCTTTGTAATTCTGTAGGATGCTGGATGACATGATGTTCTCAATACTGTTGTCAGTACCCAACATTTTCCCCTTTCTGCTCCCTGCAGCATGGCTACGCTACTTCTGTTTCTTTGGGGAAAAAAAGTACTACAAAGATTTTTTTTTATGAAATATTTTTCATTCTTATTGTTTTTAAACAATTATATTTCTGATGACATTTTAATTCTCTTTTACATGACATTTCAGACAGTGGCCAGAGAAGAGGAAAAATGCACGTCCACTGTCTGGTGTCATGTCCCTGCTCCTGTTCTTTGGTACCCATTCTCCTCTGTCTTTCTTGGCCTCAATTCCTAATTCATGTTTTCAATAGTTTTTATTGTCACTTTCATGCTTTTCTTTTCAAAGCAACGATTATACTTTTTAAGTTAGAGATTTAAAAAATCTCTGTGTGTTAAAAGAAGTGTTCTTTTAAAGACTAAGCAGAAAAATTTTAAAAAGATGTAAAGAATTATTGATGACAACTAAAAGATAAGTTGGGTCCAAAATTATACATTGTTTTTGCTTTTTCAAATTTCAGTTTTCAATACTTTATTGGACATCTGTACAGAAGTCATTTTTATTTAAACTTCTACTTTTAGAGCAAAAACATAATTAGGTAGGAAGTGCATGCTGTAACCCTTTTCTTTTACTAATAATGCCCCAGAGAAGGCGGGCTGTTAAGACCCTGAGTCTAGAACGAAAGGATTGCTCTGTACCTGAGGGTGGCTCTCTCTGCTTGCCAGCCCTGTGACTATAACAAAGTAAAGTCTCCTGGGTGCTAAGCTCACAACCCAAATCTACAAGGTGACAACACTGCCATAATGATGGAGCACTCATTATAATTTTAGGGAAAGCTGGAATTTAAAAATTGCCCCCAGCTTTGTCCTCCCCATGGAGGCCATTCCTTTTCCTCATGCATCTGCAGGTTGTCCTCATCTCCCTTCTTTGTCCCTCTCGTGCAACTCACGTTCATTTGCTTAGATAAAACATCTTTTCCTTTCCCTACATTTTGAGTCCCCAAATTGACACTATCAGGACAAAGATAAAAATATTGTATCAGTGACATAAGAGGGTACTTCAAAAAGTTCATGGAAAAATCGAATTGGAAGATAATGCAAATATTTCCACGAACTTTTTGAGCACCCTCACACAGACTATGAAATGGAGAAATGCTAAGTTTTGTGGTAACGTTAGTGACAGCAAAGAGCCAAGAATGACAGATTGTCAGAGTGCCCAAGTATCCCTTTCAGAATTGGCCCCAAAGTCTCCACATACCTCCTCGTTTCCTCCAGTCATCTGCCTTTACCAGCCTTCAAGAGTTTTCAAGTTGCTTTCTTCCTTGTTCTAATTAGGTGTGCTCTAATAATCTTATCTTATGTTGTTTTTCTTCATAAATTTAATATATTGTCTACATTGGGAGTTAAAGGGTTTTTTGGTGATTTTTTTCATAAACTATCACAATCACAATGAAAGTTAACTTTTAAACACTATCCATTGTTCACTGTTAAATTTCTGCCTTTTTCTTTTACTGCTTTCCTTTTGTGGACAGTGTAGACATATACCTGTATTTTTTGTTTTACTGTGGCTATGCGTTTACATTTACGGTGGCTATACATTCACTGCAAAACTTAACCCGTCATTTCTTTTCTGTTTCAGTGACCAATTCAGTTGATTCTGTAAGTGTCACCAAGTAGCAGTAATAATGGTTATTATATGTTCTATGTTTTGTATGTGAAGTTTGCCTCTAAAGATTGATATTTTCCCCTCCCAGTATCTAGGGCCTTCATCATACATTTTTGTCATACTTATCCTAGGGCTAGAGTGTGCCCCAGAATAATAATGAAAGAAAGAGGAGCTCAGAAAACTTGAGGAGCAAGCACATAATCTCGCAGCTCTTGGCCCAGGCAGGTTTGGTCAGCCTGTCCAAGGCAGCAATTTTGGGTGAATGATTATGGCAGGTACCACAAAGTGAGGCCAGTTCTTTATTGTGGCCCATGTGTTTGAGGAGATGGTGAAAATAAAATAGGAACTGTTGCAATCTATGATTCTTGAGCCCCGGGCAGTTGTAGTTGTGGCATTCATTAAAATGAATGTCTACTTGAATAAGTATTTTTTTAAAAAAGCTTATGTTAGGATCACTGTGTTGTTCACCTTTTCTTTAGGTCTTTCTTTTTGTGTTTGGTTGGTTGGGGGGTTTTTTGGCAGCTGGCCAATACAGGGATACATCGAACCTTGGACCTTGGAGTTATCACAACACCATGCTCCAACCAACTGAGCTAAATGGCCAGCTGCTCACCTTTTCCTTAGGTACGGATATGAGGGTACTTCAAAAAGTTCGTGGAAAAATGGAATTAAAAGATAATACAAATCTTTCCATGAAGTTTACTAAGACCCCTCATATATGTTAAAATAATAGAATCCTATAAATTTATATTCTCTATAATGTGGTTTTTTTTAGGAAAATCGAGTTGGAATTTCATATAGATTTTTAATTGAAAATTATTGTACACGGAATTAACACTAAGAGTTTAATTAGCTTTGGTTGGATTCTAAGCCCAATTTTAATTGGTTTAAATTAACTTTGCCAGTTACTAGGTGTACAACCTTGGACAAGTTAACTTCCCTAAAGGTCAGTTTTCATCATCCGTTAAATGAGGATTATAATACCAACTTCATAGTTGGATTGTGGAGATTGTGAGAGATTGTGTCTGTAAAACTTCTTGCACAGTGCCTTGACAATAGCACAAACAACAAGAATTGTTACTCTTATATATAAAAGAAAGGGATGTGTTAGTTTTATGGTGGTCATGCGTTCTTAACAATAGGGATATGTTCTGAGAAATGCGTGGTTAGGCGATCTCATTGTTGTGTGAACACCACAGAGTGTATTTACACAAACCTAGATGGTATAGCCTTTGCTGTGAGGTATAGCCTTTTGCTTCTATGTGAGTAATGCCTTGCACTGTGATGTTAGGACAGCTACGACGTCATTAAGCGATAGGACTTGCTTTATTATAATCTTATGGGACCACTGTTGTATATGTGCTCTGTGGTTGACCAAGATGTTGTTATCTGGCACATGACTGTTTTAGATATTATTATGATTTTAAGGAATGAAAGCTATTGGGTATTACCCTTTAATTTTCTTTAGAACATTATTTGTTCATTTTCATGATTCAAATATAAAATTCATTCATTGAATACAAGTGTGAACAGAAAAGATGTCATTTTATTCTTTCAGGATGATTATGGTCATGTGTCATTTTTCCGTGGGTTCTGCTTTCTTCAATATTGCATTCATATGAAGAATTCTGTGACGTTATTTGTAGAATCTTACAGTATGTTATCAGCATCAGTTTAGCATAATTATCATATTGTCAAACAGCAGATCAGTTCTCCAGTATTTTAAACTGGTACATGATCCCATAATTCCCCATATTAGTGGTCTTTAACCTGTGAACTTATAGAGTTCTTATGAAGGATTCACTACTCTATAAAGTCATTAAGCATTGACTATTGACAGAGAAAATAATACTCCTCTCAAATATGTTTTAAATGTTAAGTGCTATCATGATTAATGAAACATATTTTTTACGAGAGCCAAACTGGTTTCATAGTGTTATTTCATCATTTTGTAATTGTTCTAAAGCCGTGAAAATGTAAATGTACCAATATTATCACATAGGAGCACACGAGCTCTTTAATGTTGAAAACAGGCTCTCCTTCTTGAAAAGAGTAAAAACCCCTACTTTGCATTTGAACTTTTCATGATATTCACTCCTACTTTTACAAGGTAAGTTTTGGATGCCTTTTTGTTTCCTTCTCAGTGTCTTAATATAATGTTATGTCTTTATCATGTATGTAGCTGACAAATGGATGCCCAAATAACATTTAAATTACCTTGGATTTAAATGGCACTGCCCTATTTCCTCAGCTAGCTTCTGCACTTGCTTGGGGGTAGTAGAAGAACAGAAAACCATCTCATTGACAGCTTTATTTGAGACATGAGAAGGCTGGAAAGGAGCCATTTGTCATCTATCCCTGTGCGGCCCAGCCATTGACACCAGCATGTCCCCTTTTCTCTTTTAGATGGGAATGTGGTGGAGCCTGACATGTCTGCGGGGTTCTGCCCAGATCACAAGGCAGCCATGGTTTTATTCCTCGACAGGGTTTACGGAATCGAGGTTCAAGATTTTCTCCTGCATCTTCTTGAGGTTGGCTTTCTACCAGATCTCCGGGCCGCTGCCTCTTTAGATACGGTAGGATTTGAGCAACTGACTTCCTCCACTTTTGACTCTTCAGTCTGTGCCTTACAATATTCTTTCATATATATTCATTCATTCACTTATGGTCAAAAACATTTATGGGGTATAAGTCATATTTTCAGGCAAACAGTGGGTAAACAGAAAATAAAGTAGACTGTGTCCTTGAGGAATTCACTGAGTAGTTAAACTGATAACCTCACGAAACTGCTGACCTCAGGCTGAATTCTAATACTGTAAGAAGAGGTCCATATAACCCAAATTTGGTAGGTCACAGTGACACCTGTTAACCTCTTCATTGCTAACCTCTGAATAGGCCTAAACAATTATGCTGGTTCTCAATGAAAGCCATTAAAGTATTAAGAAGATTTAATGGACCTTGTTGAGTCATGCTAATTACAGTGCCATCCCGGTGTCTTCTTTTATTAAGGTACAGATAGACTGAAATCTGTACTATATATTATCCCACATGGACAATTTGCCATTATTAGGGTGAATGATCTGCTCTTTGAAATATTGTAGAATAACCTGAAGTTCCAAATGTTATTGTACTAATTAAAGTAATACCCACTTTTATTAATTTTTTTGTTTTATTGATTAAATGGGCCTTTTGGACTTTGGGGAAAATTAGATCTCAAGTTGACAGTAGTCTTTTTATGATATTCATGAGAGCAGAATCATAAACATGAAATGCAAATTTCTGTTTTCTTTGCTGGGTGTGTTCACATGGAATTCTGAACCTAAATAGTATAGATGGTAAAATAGTAACATAATCAGCCTTTGATTGTTTTGATGCTGGTGGACATGAGCAGAAATATGAATAATATTAACAAATAGAATTCAGAAAGAATTTATGTATGTGAGATCTGTTGTGAAAGTAAAGGAAAGCATTGATATCTTTGATATCTTTAGTGTCTTCATCATACATTGAGCCTACCATTGATAAAACCTAAACCTCTTGGGCTTTTTTGAGGAGCTAGATATCATTTCATTCATTTTTTTCTATTTATGAGCAACTGACAGTGGATTGTTTTTAGTGGTAAAGATCATACGAACTGCATTAGCAGTATCCATTTGTCATACTCTTGTCATTTCCGACATAGTGAAATTATATGTCAGCATGCTGATCCTTTTGAAAGTTGTCTGCAGCCAAACACAAATGGCTTCCTACTCTCTAATTCCTTTGTAGGCTGCTTTGAGTGCTACCGACATGGCCTTGGCCCTCAATCGGTACCTCTGCACAGCCGTCCTGCCTTTGTTAACGAGATGCGCCCCTCTTTTTGCGGGCACAGAGCACCACGCTTCCCTCATTGACTCGTTACTTCATACTGTGTACAGACTTTCTAAGGGCTGCTCTCTCACCAAAGCTCAACGGGATTCCATCGAAGTGTGTTTACTCTCCATTTGTGGGTAAGTGGGAAACTGTATGTCAACTTCTTCCTTAAGAAAGGGAATGCACTATGTGGCCCTTGACAAATTATTATGGTTTTTAAAAAGCAATTTCTGTACCAAATAATTTCTGCCCCAAATTAATTCATTTTAGATAGTCCTGTGTACTGAGGTATGAGTCTTCTCAGAGCACCCTTGTTCCTGGTCAAGTTTGGGAGTGTCCCTCCAGGCCTCCCCAGGGCATCTAGCTATTGGATCTAGAACACTATTCTAGATGTTGGGTGGGACGGGGGAGAGGCACACTGACTGTCGCAGCTCCTAGCCCCTTTAGGTAAGATAATAGATTCTTCCCTTTTTGACTGTGGTTGATGATTTTAACTCTTCTTCCAGAAGAGAAAAGAAAAAGGGGAGTTATTAAATATTAAATATAAAAAATATAAAAGGGACTTATTAAAGCATACTGATGTCTGGCTGTGATGAAGGCTGAATATTTCCTCCAGCCTGGAAAACCACTTCCATGGGTAGAAGTGTTTCAATTCTGTGAAAACCAGAAATATACCTCTCCCTGCTGAAGTCCTGTCAGTGACAGCGACCATTTCTCAAGCCCCTCACAAAGTGATGGTTCCTTTCTAATTGGTCAGAGACTCTTGGCAGTGAAGACCTGCATCCTGGCAATCCCAGGGGAGGGAAAGGTTTTCCCCCACGGTGGAGTGTGTGGGTTGAGAAGGCAGATGGGGCTGAGGGAGGTGGACGATCAGGAGAGTAGTTCTGTAGCTTCCCTGACCTAAGATTCTGTAAAATGGAATCAAAACACCTACCTTACACAGTTTCTGTAAGTATCAGATGAGGTGAAATGCTTGGCAGTGCCTGATGTAGTAGAGGTCACCCTGTGTTAGTTTCTGTCCCTTGCTCCTCTGGCAATATTACTTGCTCAGCCATGTGTCCTCCCACCTGTTCCTGCACCCCCTCTTCTTTCTGCATCTGGCCATCTGCTGCAGTGAGGGGAGAAGCATTTACTAAAAGTAGTGGGGGAAGGTCTTAGGGAAAACGGCAGGGTCTGCAGTCATACGTGGTTGGGAAGGGAAGGAGCAGAAGAGAAACTTCTGTAGCAAGAAGGGCTGCTCTTCAGATCTGGGGGTCAGAGATGAACTGGAAAATGCAAACTTACATGAACTTAAGTAGCTCCTGGCTAATCTTCAGACTAGGAACACCTGATTAATACCATCTGAGAAGAGTTTAGGTACAGGTCCTTAACTTGTAATGTAGCCTGATGAATTATCTGTTTCATTTGGACACATTTTTTCCTTATTATGAAAATTGTTTTTGTTTCAACAGCCAGTTGAGACCTTCGATGATGCAGCACTTACTCAGAAGATTAGTATTTGATGTTCCATTGTTAAATGAACATGCCAAGATGCCTCTTAAGGTAGGTATAGGAAACATTTGTACTTATTTGATTACTGCTTTTTCTGACTTTGTTTACTGTTATAATGTGTACATCTCTTAGATGCTGGGAAATTTCTCCTAATTATTGAAATGGTCATACTCGTATAAGTTATAAAAATGTGTACATGAACCTGAAATAAAAGTAATAAAATACCATAGATATCCTAAGATTGTTTTCCACGGAAATCAAAGGGAAAAAATGGGCCACAATAAAAGATAAGCCAAGATACTCATTCTTAAGGTAGAAACATGGTGATAGGCCTGGCCTAAAATGTTATTAGCAACTTCAAGGGATAAAGAGCAAGTTTTAAAAACAACATTTTCTAAGTTGATAATCACATGAGAAACTCCAAATACCACTTCACAGGGTTCAAAGATAACCTCTCGGTATGTGCCGTTACAGTTTGTCACATATTATAAAAAAGTCAGTGACGTTTTCTCTGCCCAGCTGTACTATTCTGTTCGTGTACGATTAAGTCTCATTCTGTCTGACTGACTTGGTAATATCTTTCTATGAGTTAATATCCTAAATATCTAGACTGAGGATAGGATGGTCTGAGCATCAAGGTTATGTGGTAATGTAATAGACTTCACGGGTGACCTCTCTGCAATGCCATCTAGTATGCGTCATTTTTTCCCCCAATGGCCATCCATTAATAGTGCTGTCAAAAATGTAAATGAGTCTATTTTTGAGCTGTCAAACTGAGCATTCCTGGATATTTAGCAAAAATAATCTTTCTCTATGGAAATTGATTTTGGTTTAATAAATCTAGATAAATTAATGAATTAGGAAAATTATACTCGTATTCTTGCTAAAAATCCCATTTCTACAGTTTTTATCATCTAGAATAGCCCTTGTCATGCAAAATTTTCTTGATACAAAAGAGATGGAAGATACTTGAAAGAAGATGTAGTATCATATTCTAATGTTTATGCAATAAGATTCTTTTACATTGCAGATATTTTGATATTAATTCAAGCAAGTTATATCTCAGTATTTCCTCATTGGAGATTCCTAGACAGTGTGCATGTGTGGATGTGTGTGTTTGTGTTTTGTAACTGAAAAGGAGACCAAACAAGATGAAATATTTCAACCCTAAAACATGTAGTTAGCTTTAATAATAATATTCCTTACAATTTACTTTCTTCCTTGAATATAGAAAAGAAAGTCCAAATAGTTATATTTGATTCCTGCAGATCATATTATTATTTGGCAAATGTAGATCAAGAATAAATTATCCAAAAAGTTACCGAATAATTGAAAGATTCTATCCTTGTCTTTGAACTCCCAGCTTAATTCTGAACAAACAAAATACACATAGGTGAAAACCTAAGGAGCAACATGGACTCTCAGTAAGGTAGTAAGTTGCTTCTATAACCACCAAGAAATGTAGACATGCAAATGATCCAGGTAGAGCAGTTGTGGAACTTTATTTTGAGAGGTAAGTTTTGAGGCAAATCATAAAATGTGATGGTTAAGAAAAGACAGAGAAGTAGAAAAATAATCACAGATGTGTAGTTCCCTGGTTGTACCTCTAGGTCACCTTGACAGCAATCCCTTCATTTTACTCATGGATTTCAGGAAATAACAATTCATAAAATTGTGAGTAAATGATAGCAACTAAAGTAAAACTCAGGAATACGTAGATATTCAAATAACCTCATAAAAAATGCTGTTCAAGATAGAGTTATTTTTAAAATTGGGCATTTGATCGTCATATAACCATCAGTGTTAAATTTTGTAGAGACGTAGTATCCAAGGTGAATAGCATTCTCCAAAAGAATGCATAGGGGATTGGGCAGTTTCACTCCAGTTGACCTTATTGCATAGCATTAGAATGCCATATGAGGAGAAATGGAAAAAAATGTAAAAGATGTCTTTAGCTCTTTGCTTTTATAATTGTTTTCCGGGCCAAGCCCGTGGCGCACTCGGGAGAGTGTGGCGCTGGGAGCGCAGCAGTGCTCCCGCCCGGGGTTCGGATCCTATATAGGGATGGCCGCTGCGCTCACTGGCTGAGCGCGGTGTGGCCGGTCTCAAAAAGGACAAAATAATAATAATAATAATAATAATAATAATTGTTTTCCCACATAGCTGCTGACAAATCATTATGAAAGATGCTGGAAATATTACTGCCTGCCTGGAGGGTGGGGAAACTTTGGTGCTGCCTCAGAAGAAGAACTTCATTTATCAAGAAAGTTGTTCTGGGGCATTTTTGATGCCCTGTCTCAAAAGGTAATGTTTTATGGATTTATTTGAATTGATAAAATGATAAAAGCCGCAGGTTATTGTTAAGGTATTATTCCTAGTGGAATAGTGCCTTTATTAGACTTAGTTTTATTTTTTTCTCTTTTCTCAACTTTAATGTCCCAGATAGACATCATTACATAACTGGAATATTGTAACCGCAAGTTTGCTACATAATAGTGAAAAGTTTATCTGTGATCGCATTTAATAGCTACATTTTGATGCTGTTTCTTACTCAATTTCCTGTGGTAAACAGAGTCTTTTAAAAATAATGTGTAAGTATTTTTAGAAGCATTTGCAACATTTACAATTGAATATCTAAATTCAGATAATTTACACAATCATTATTTTTGATTTTTTAAAACATCTATAACTACAGATTTAACTAATTATGTAATTAATATACAAATATCTATTTTCAGAAATTTTTATCATGCATACTTCCCATAGAATTTCTTTCCCAGCTCAGAATTTTATTTCTCATACCTTTGTAGTGCAACCCAGATCAGTTAAAATTTCTCACTCTCTGGAATGTTATCCTTTATGTATTTTTCATGTATAGCAATGTGATGCAGTAGTAATCTATAACTAACTATAAGGAATACAGTCCTCATTTACTGAGATTATGTTGTAAAGACATTTTATAGAATTTAGAATATTCAAGTTTACTTTATTTCACATATGGAAGAATAAACTTTTGGAGATGCAGAGATTTTATTTGCCATATGCTGCAGTTTCTCTTATGTTTGATGGCAATTCAGTCTATATGTATCATTTTCTAGAGAAAGAATCGTCAGGGAGTTAAGTTAGCCCAGAGTAATTAAGATTTTCTCCTACAGCAGTGTATCAGCCATGGGGAACATGCTGGCCACTTTTGCTACACAGTAATATAGTAATTTTTCTTTGGCCCTCAATTTATTTCCAGAAATATGAACAAGAACTTTTCAAACTGGCACTGCCTTGCCTGAGTGCAGTTGCGGGAGCTTTGCCTCCAGACTACATGGAATCAAATTATGTCAGTATGATGGAAAAACAGTCATCAATGGATTCTGAAGGGAACTTTAACCCACAACCTGTTGATACCTCAAAGTATGGACTCTTTCTATTGCAGCAGATTTTTATTGTAAATGATGTGTGAAGTCTGAAATTGAATAAGGTACTAAAGTGAACTTTCTCTAATACATGCCCCCTTTGAATTGGTATCCTTTTAATAGGGGTCCCTTTAATTTATCAATGATAGTAATAGTAATAATGATTATGGTAATATCAGAAACAGACAAGATGTACCTTCTAGGATACTGTCAATATAATCAAGATTCTCTGTATATAACTACATGGTGATATCTATAATAATGAGAATCAAGTATATCAGTTATATTTTTAGTTGAACATTTACCCTAAATGTTTATTAATAACTACAGTCATCCTCTGTATAGCATCTTTTACTTAGAGTGATCCCAGCATGCACTGCAAAGCTATTTCTCTGAGTGGCAGGGAATTACTTCACCCATCACTGCATCTGTGCAAGGCCCAGGGTGAGCTGCTGATGGTCAGCACTGTAAAGCACACACAACATGAGACTGAAAGAAGTATCAAATGAGAATTCTTGTGGACAATTTAGCATGCAGTTACAATGCAGTTTGACAACCTTAACCAAAGACTGAATGACATTAACATTATGAAACTTCTTACATGTACTGAGCTGCATGAATTATTATACAAATAGGGTGTTCGGGTTGTTCAGGTGTTTGAAGTCTCCACATTTTATTATTGTTGTTGTCACTGTCTTTAAGTAGGACCGTGGTTCCCTATTTTCAAGGAAAGCTGCCTCTCCATACCACATTGTCTTATTGATTCCGTAAGCAATGGAACTCAGTGACTCAGCAAGATCAGTTGTAGCAGGGTAGCCACTTGGTAATTCTTATCCACGGCTTCTGAATTTGCTGGGGAGTTCAACTTTGAGGCTTCTGGGCGGCCCCAGCTGGCTTAGCGCCTATAACCAGAGTGGTATGCTGGTAGTTTGATAATGTCTTGAATGTGCATGTTTGATATTTGATGACAACCTATGAGAAAAGACTGTACCCCCAGTATTTGGCTTATGTGATAATCCTTTGTATCTTTTCCAAAGTAAGTAAACCAAAATACCATATGTTCACATTCCTACATGGGTAAGTTTGTGGTTTGCTAACATACAATATAATACTGGCTTTTAAATAACAGCAGAACAATGTCATGGTTTTGGTGTTGATTAATTACATCCAATTAATTCATAAGTGTTGGGCATGTATATTAATTTACCTAAGATCACCCCTTTGGGGTCTTCTTAACAGATACAGGTTTACATGGTGGTATCAATAATTTTCACATGATTATAATTTTTATTTATTTCTTCTTAAGTATATGTATGTCATGTAATTCAATTACTGACTAATAACTGCTGGAAAAGAACAGTAAACCATCTCATTGTATTAAGTTTTATTTAGGATTTTTTTCCCCTTGGTTTTATTCAAAATTCTATGCTCGAAGTTAATTGCTTTAATAAGTTATGTTCATTAATGGATGGAATTATATTGATATTTAATATTCCATTCTTAGACATGTTTGATATTCCCAAGTCTTGCATTTACCATGAGACTTGGTCATCAATTGCATGCACACTTCCTATGTTCAAGGGATTAAATATTTATTTAAAAATGAAAAATCAAGAATACATGTTATTAAAATAAAAAAGCCAGAATTAGTTAATTGCTTTTCCCTACAGTCAATATTAGTAACATTTAGAATGTTATATATAGACCATTAATATTTAAAATCATTATTGCATCACTAGTTGTATACAATTAATTTAAAAATTTGGTACATTTAAAAATCTAGCAGGTCAGATTTCAGCAGTCTTCTTATCCATTTGTAGTTGTTGCAGAAGAGACCAAAGTCAAAAAGGGAGAACGACATCAAAGAAAGAACATGGGAGAGACACGTGTCTTTAAGCTTGTTGACTCCAAACATTTCTTGCTTTAGGGCTTGTTTTTTTTTTTTCTTTTTTCTATAATCGATTGCCATCATCTTTGAATATACTTGAATTATTTTACTTGTATTATGTATATTTTAATTACATATAATTTGTTATATTAACAAGTAATAAAATATGAATCAATATAAGATGAGCAGATAGAGCATTATCTGCTTGACTTTTCTTATATTGCCTTAATAATATGAAAAGTAATACTTCTTTAAAACTATTTTTAACAGTTATGCATTGAATGGGATCTAAGCATTTATGACCTGTGAGTAAGTTAATATGATTTCCTGTAAATTCTGTGAAAATCAAGCTTTTTGCCTATATTTTTCTCATAGTATTACAATTCCTGAGAAGTTGGAATACTTCATTAACAAATACGCAGAGCATTCCCATGACAAATGGTCGATGGACAAGGTAAAAGTCAGAGTGTTGTGTTCTGATTCAGTATTGTCATTATTAATAACTGGTCACTGTGCAAATATTTCTGACCATGATAATTTTCTCTTTTAAAGTGAGAGCCTTATCTCAACCAGGAGCATTTAATTACAGTTCGCTAGTATAATATTTAGCTAGTTCTGCTATTAATGAAAGTATGATATACATCTGAATAAGAATATTTGTTCTCATAAAAAGCCCAATTTTCAGATTTCAAAAGATCTTTCTTTCTTTCTTTCTTTATTTATTTATTTATTTATTTTTTTCCTTTTTTCGTGTCCGGCAATGGATCGCAACCCTCAGTGTCGTGCCCGTACCGGACCGGGACCGGCAACGGGATCGCAACCCTCGGTGTTGCGCCCGCACCTCTCCCAGCCAGTGAGCGGGAACCGGTCTGTATGTGGGATCCGAACCCTCGGCGGGAGCGCCACCGCGCTCCCAAGTGGTGCACTGTAGCAGTGCGCCACCGGGCCGGCCCAAAAGATCTTCTAATTATATTATAAATATAGTTTCTAAACATATATTATTCACAGAGGTAAAAAGTATCAGTCATCACGGGCTTCAGGAGGAAGAGGAAACCCCAGGTCTAGAATTTACCTTTTAAGCAAACTTTGGTTTTATATGTAGTTTTGTATTAGATAAAGTCTTGAAAACTCTTAATCAGGACTTAATTATTGTTTACCCTATTCTTCTGCTGTATTTCTTACTACCAAGTAGATCTGCAGTTTACTTAAAATAGGTTACATTGGCCGGATGACATGTTTTATTTGTGTTTTCAAGAATAACAACCCAAGTGAGAAAACTAAAGGAGTCACAATCTATGAGATAATTCCTACATATTATGAGATTTTCTAAAGGAAACATGCCTGAGTATTCATGTTAAATTGAGCCTAGTTTAAACTTAAGGGAGGATGGTTAAAATAGGTTGGTGAGAGAAACTGCGTTGAGATGGTGCGAGAATCTAAAATACGCCACGTGCTGATTTGGTGAAGTCAGAGTTAAACTGCAGAGTTCCAAAGGATGCGTCTGTTGTGTAGCAACTCAGCATTATCATGCGGATTTTAGATTCAGTTTCAGTCTTGCCCCAGCCAATCAGCCCCTTACTACCTCTATGAAACAGTTTTTTGTTTATTTGTTTTGATAAACGTGTGGTTCTTTTTTCAGTAATTAACTGATACATGAGGTAAGCCAGTAAGGATCTGTATAAAGGTCCACTAAGTCTTGAGCTGATGGAGGTGGTGATGGAGAGGAATATTGCAGGAAGGTAGTCCTGAGCTATCCTAGTCCAGTTACTCAGACTCTGTAGGCAGACATGAAATGGTATAGAGAAACGGTGATATGTACAGATGGGCAAAATAATGTGGAACAAACATGTTGAGATGAAGGAATGGGCAAAACAGTAGCTTTATTTAGAGATGCTTCTGAGATGCATACTCCAGTTTTCCTGTTAAAAATGAATACTTCATATACACGTGTCACAGGTAGAATCCCATAAACATCATCCCCGTGGCCTCCTTGTAGGAGTCACAGACCTGGGTCTGCTTAAGGAAGACAGGGCTCTTTAATCTCTAGGTAGAAAGACTTGTTCCAGATGATTATTAAAAATAACATTGATTAGGATGGAAATGTTTATAATGACTTATGCTGGATAAAATTCAAATTTCAGTCTTTATCTTGGTTCATTTAGCTTTATTTTATGAAATATACACTTAAACACATGTATAACTACACTCTCTAAAATAAGTACATGTGAACAAATTTTGATGTTTTTGTTTTTTTAGTTGGCAAATGGATGGATTTATGGAGAGATATTTTCAGATTCTTCTAAGGTTCAACCATTAATGAAGCCATATAAACTATTATCTGAAAAGGTAAGGGGTTTTGTTTGGTTTTTCAATTTTAAAGTTTTAATTTGGGGGGTAAAATTATTTCTTTGTTATATACTTTCTTATTAATGTCTTTACTTTGTATTTACTATTTTTACCTTTATTCAAATGTCCCATTTTTTATCTTCTTATATTTTGTTTTTTTCTCTCTGTTCCTATTTTCTGTCAGTATTTTATTGGTTATTTTCTCTTTAATATTTTTCTTTTCCTTTTAGATTTTTATTCCTCTCCCATATTTTTAAAGGCATTAGAAAATATTCTTATTATTACACTTAAGAGTTTCTTGATGAGGGATGATAAAATAATATTTTAATATCCTTATTATGTGTAGGCTTTCATATACTTTACTTCTTTGGGGGAAAATGAATATTGTGACAAATGAAGCAAAAAGGATTTTCTAGTGTTTGCTTATAAAGGAAGAGTTACGTCTCTCTTTATTCAGATGGTGGAAAAACCTTCACACATGAATCCCAAGATCTGTCACTGTTTCCTAATCATGTTTCTCCTCGTTCTAGTTTCTGAGACATCAGGAGCTGGGAAGCTAAAGGAAATTGGTCTCCATGCTATACATTGAGTGAGCATCCCATCTGGTAGCACTAGGCAGGCTAGATCTCAGCTCACACTCTGCTTTTTAGAATTTTTACTTTCTTTTTTAATTTTTAAATAAACTATGCTAATCAAATTTTTAAAAAATGAAGACAGTCTATTTTAGAACAAAGCATTAAATATTTTAAATTTTCATTTGGGTTCATAATATCCATGTTTTGTTTTTCCTTTTTTCCCTAGGAAAAAGAAATTTATCGCTGGCCAATCAAAGAATCTTTAAAAACTATGCTGGCCTGGGGTTGGAGAATTGAGAGAACCCGGGAGGGAGACAGCATGGCTCTTTATAACCGGACGCGTCGTATTTCTCAGACTAGCCAGGTAAGAAGCACAGTGATGAATCAACTGTTGATGTTATTTCTTAAATATTTTTAATTTTTAAGTGATTATTGTTTTTTTTAAACAAGTAATTTGAAAATTCTGAAGACTAATATAAAATTTAGAAGAAGGAGACAAAAACTATGTTACTTTTTCTTTAGTATTAAGTAAGGCCAAATCACGATTAAAGTACTGGAATTTATATATCACATCTTAGTTTCATGGCTAGTATAGAAAGGAGTTCCCAGTTGTAAGGTCCTGTAGTTTTACTGACAAAGGCTGTACAAGCATTCAAGCAGAACAAGAACTCAGAGCATATGTTGCTGGTGGGCACGAAGTCTGGCCAGTACGGCAGGACTCTAGCCATAGAGCTTAATGCTCAAGGTGGCCAGAGTAAGGTACAGCCTTGACCTGGAAAAGGCCAGGGTCAAGGTGGGACCGAAATACCAGCTGGTAAAATTTGGTGACCAGGTTGTCTGAGCTGCTTACCTCTGGTCCTTTCATTTCTCCTGGAGCTAAACCTGTCAATATACTTTTCTTGACTCCTCAGGCCACTATATATTCAGTTTACACAAAATGTTATTTATTATTGCTATTTATACAGATATCCTTTTTGAAAAAAGAAACTAAGGTTACTGAAAGCATTGCTTCACATGCTTTATATCTGAAATATACTTTTAAATAAATTAAGTTGTGATTTGAGCATATTTTATTAAATTCTCTCAGGTATGTATCATATGGGTGGAAGCTATAAAACATATTTTACCTATTTTTTGTGTATGTACACTTTTCCAAGTAAATTAGCTTTTTAAAAACTGTTTCAACAAACATTGAGCACAAACTAACATACGAGGCAATAGAAATTCAAGGATAGTAAGATACATTTCTAATCCTAAAGACTCACAAGAGTCTTCCTTTTAGAGGTCAAGTTCAATTTACTATAACATAGAACAGTAAGTGTTAGATTAGTGGTATGTTCAAGGAATTACACGGTGTAGAGAAAGGAATGATCTTTTTTTCTTCCCCCTGTAAAGTGACTAGGAAATGAGGAAATTACCACATAACAGAGGTGACTTTAAGCTTTACCATGAAAAATACGGTAGATTCTCCCATTGCTCTTAAAGCAAAAATTGTGTACTCTGATTTAAAATTACATATGTTGTGTATATTTCCTCTTTCCCTTTCCCCCTTAGTTCTTATTACACAAGAAGCTCCCAGTGGATCCTGTTAACCACAGAATGATCTCTCATGTCTCAGTGATTTTTAGAATGATATATGTGATTCGTGATATTCATTCTTAAATTCTGTATGTGATTTCAGAGTCTCAGGTGGTGTTTATGCCAGAGACGTAGTGTATAGGTTAAGAGGGAGGGCTCTGAGTTAGACCCCTTGGGCTTAAATCCTGGGACAAGTACTTTCTAGAAATGTAATTCTGAGCAGTTGATCTCTATTTGCCTCAGTAATGTTTACTCTTATTTTACTATTGTTATGTAAATAGGTTAATGTCAGAGAGCATCTCATTAATGGTAAATAGTGTGTGTTTGCATTTGTAGCACTTTGGCCTCTAAGTAGTAAAGAAAGAGTATTTCTATCAGCCTTGGAAATGGGGAGCAAAATACAAGAAATGCCACAAATCTATTTATAACCCTTGTCATTATTTTCAGTCATTAATATAAGGGCTGTTAGAAGTTAGGAGGAGCTGATTAGAGAGGAGTTAAATGGGTGGATTTTGACTCTCTCAATAGTGACACTAAAGTCAGCATGAAAGGACATTTCTGACCATCTCAGGTACATCTCACAGGTTCTCCACTGTTACTTATGTATCCACAAATTCCAAATCTTTATCCCGTATCTGTTTTTCAGTTCTGCAAATGTAGGATAAAAACTGTTTAAATAAATGAAAAACAAGCTTAAAACCTGGGAGGTAGAGGGAGATGGGAATGAATGTTTAGAAAACTGAAAGCCAGGCTGGGATAGAGGAATGATTCCTTCATTTCTTTAACAGGTGTTCATTGAGCACCTGTTATGTCCCTTGCATTATTCCAAGCTTTTGGGATAGATCAGTGAAAAAAATGGACAAAGCCTGTGCTCTCATGGTGCTTACATTCTAATGGGGGAAATAAACAATAGATATCAAGTCAGTTATGTACTATGTTAAAATATAATAAATACTAAGTAAAAGAGAAAACTCAGAATGGAAAAGTAGTTGGGGAGGGGCATGGTTGGAAGGTGTTTGGAGGTGAGTTGAAATGATGATATGGAATTTTCAGGGTAGATTTCATTGAGAAGTTAAGTTGAATTAAGACCTAAAATTGGTGAGGGAGTTATAAAGATTTAGGGGAAGAATATTCCTGACAATGCACACAAGTTGAGGTGGGAGAGTGGTGGAAATAAGGAAGCCAGTGAAGTTGGGACCAAGTGAGTAACACAAGGTGCAGAGATCACAGGGGCCAGGTCCTGCAGGACATTTAGGGCCATTTTAAGGACTTTGGTAAGTGCTTTGGAGTTAGAATTACTTTCAAAACTCAATTCTGTCTCTTGCTGTTACATGATATATTTCCTTTAAAATTACTTGAGCCTCTTTTTTTCTCATTTTAAGATGGTAAAAAGTAATATCTGCTTTTCTGAATGTTCTTATGATTAAATGAGATAATGTAAATGTCTTGCACATTATCACCACTCACATGGTAGGTGCTGTTATTGTTATCATTACTAATAGATTAGAGTTAATGTTAAAGCTCCCTGCTCAAAAGATGGTGCATTTTTCAGGTAACTTGAAACTATATAAGGCCTGGCTAGTCTCCCAATTTCTGTGTATGTGAAGAGAAATGGGCAATTATCCCTGAATAAAAGAATATTTACTTACATCAACCGGCCTCAAGAACTTAATAAAGCTGAAGAGATAAATTTTAAGTTATAGAAGGAACATGGTCTAAGAGGATATTAAATACAGGAACTTCTGTTTTAGAAATAAGTAAAGTAATTGACATCAGCTTTGTTTTATTCAACAAAATTTACAGAGAATCTAATACTGTTTTTCATCAGTTTTAAGATGCACTTTTGCCATATTTTAGTATCTGTGAGGTTGGGGATCATTTTGTAATTCTAACATTGATGAAAGTAGCAGTGCCAGCCTCTGGGGACATTCAGATGAAGAAGGCTCATCCCGTCAAGCCCTAGGTGCCTACCACACAGGGGAAGGCCTTCCGCTCGGGCAGTGACACCATAGGTGTGTTGGAAATGCAGTTCTGACAGCAAAGTGGAGAATGAGTGAGAGAAGCGTGAGCTTGAAGGCAGAAGACAACAAACTCCCTAGGAGGATACTGTAGACATCCCAGAAAAAACAAATCAAACAGGAAACAGAACATATTGAGTATTTGCATTAGAGCAAAGATGGTGGAAATGGTGGGAGGTGGATGTGTCCCAGGGCTGCTCTTGAAGAGGAGTAGACGTGATTTTCTGACTCTCTGATACATGGCCATGGATGTGGGGTAGTAATCAGGAGGGATGGCCGTGGGTTCTAGCTTGGCTCGCCAAGTCCATAGTTACGTTAGGTGAGGGACAGACCTTAGGAGTGCTGGGGACCTCAAGAAGAGAACCATGAATTTATTTCAGATATTGTGGTAGGCAGAATTACCGTTCCCACAGATGTCCACCTTCTAATCATCACAACTGTATGGCAACCAAGGTACTGATGGTAGCTGTGGTGATGGTGACAGTGACAGTATAGTAGCAGTAGGAATAGGCATTTGCCAAGATTCCTTGTGCAGTTTCTGTGTCTTAGGCACTGTGCTAAGGGCTTTACATCTGATTTCATACCAGCCTTTGAGGTAGAATGAATATTTAGCATTGGCCCGTTTAACAGATGGATAAACGATCTTAAAAATGGTAAGTCACTCAGCACTGGCTGTGCTTGGGGGGGCACAGGCAGTCTGGGTCTGTACCACTACTGCCCGTGGAGTGGGAGGGACAATGGCAAGGATTGACAGCAGGGGTAAGAGTAGTTCAGTGGGTAATTTTGAAGCTGAAAGGTAATTAATTTTAGGTAATTAATTCCTATTTAACCAACTCCTTTTCTTTTTTCACTGAAATAAGAAGTGTAGTTATCAGCTAAATGTCATGAGAATGGAAGAGCTAAAAAAGGTGAAGGCTGGGAATATTCATCATTAATAGGGGTGTGAACCAATTAACTAAAAATAACACTGTTGTTAATGAGAGCCCAGTTGGGATGGAATTTGTCAGTTTTTTGATGTCTCTGTAAATTTTAATAGTCAGGGATCGGGAATAACCATTTGATTGACGTGTGAATGCTCACAACGGCTCTTTAAAATTCAGTACTCATTTTAAATTCAAATTTATTATTTCCATTTGAAATTCTCAATTTCCTTTTAAATCATGTGAGTGTACTTCAAGAAGCTCATGGAAAGATTCAAATTATCTTTCAATTCCATTTTTCCATGAACTTCCTGAAGTACCCTTGTGCATGCCTGTGTAATAAACTTAGCTAGTGTAGGAACTGCTTGAACCATGGAAAACCAAGCATGATCTTCATCTAGTGATTGTATTACACATTTTGTTATTAGATGGCACTGAGCCAGGGCAAGGGCACAGAAGCGAGGGACCAGTCAAAACTCACTGTTAGTTGAGTGTTGCTTATGAGCTCATTAGTAATCACAGCACGTTAGCCTCTCTTCTGTCCTACAAGCATGGTATGAGCTATAACTTATATTGTTTTTAGTTTGTTTTTGTCCATTTCCAATAAGAGAATATAAACAATTATGAAACATATCAAGATAAAATTTGATACAATTTGATATAATTTGAGATTTATAAGTAGGAACCAGAGCTCATTTTTGTGGTATACTTTCACATAATATGCTTTTGGGTGGAATGAGGTAGGTGCCCAGGATGATAGTAAAACTTTCTTAAAATTGATGATAAGATATATTTCATTTTTAAAAAGAATTTAGAAATTAAGTAAGTCTTCTGATTATTGAGCATTTCTTTGTAAACAATTGACTACCATATGATATACTTTTATAATTAAAAAGTCAGTTATATTTTATCCTAATGTTTGACCCATAGAAACATTTGTAAATGTTGACCTCTGATTGCATGAGGAAGAATAAATCTCATTGCAGTCAATTAGGATTTGTAAGAAACTTAAGAATACAATGATCCTTTGTGTAAGGGATTGTTTTAGACTTTGGGATTTATTGCACAATTTGTCAACTTCTGATCATTAGCTTTTAGAATTTTCAATTCCCTAAGATATTTGGATGTATTATTTGATTATAAATAATCATCAAACACCCTCGTATAATTTAATTTGCTAGATATATTTACAAAGTCATTTTGTGTAGATGCCAGTTTTATCTCAGGAAACATTCTGTTTGGAAGTTTATTTGCTTTGTATTTCTTAAGTAGCATTTAAATCTCCACTGGGTTTTGAATGAGACACTGTTTTTTCACACAAATGATCTAGGTTTCTGTAGATGCTGCCCATGGTTATAGCCCTCGAGCCATTGACATGAGCAACGTCACACTATCCAGAGACCTGCATGTAAGTACTATTAATTTTTAAAAAATGTTCTCTAGATTTGATTGTTAAAAAACAGACTGTAGCACTTTCCTGCATATATTTTGTAGCATGAATTGTTTAGATGTAGTAATAATATAGTGGGTCCATGGAGTTTATAGATTATGTACCCTAACATTTTAGGACTGTAAAAGTTGATATAACTTTTTCTAGGATGTTTCCTCCACATAACAAATTTTCCTTAAAGATAATATTCATTTAAAAATTCTAATATAATTAAATACCTTTGTGTGAAAAGAAAGAAAAATAATTAGTAATGCTGTGCTCAAGGATCACCTTAATTACTTATTGAAGAATATGTACTTCGAGTGTTCTATCCAGGGAAATTGATGGCATTTGCGGTTCCATCCCTAGTCATATTATCTGTTCTCCTTTGTCACTAAGAACTTATTTTAAAATGGCAGATTTGAACGAAAGGTGAAGTTTGTTGCTAAGGACAATATGGTGATCAAACAATGATATTGGCATTGTTAGTATTATTCTAAGAGACATGAGGATATAATCATAAAATCTATGTATTGTTAAATTGTTTGGTTTGTCCTTTATTGTTGCTCCTGTAAGATGAGTTGAAATGACATAGTAAATTTGAAAGTCAAAAGTGAAAAGAATTTTAGAGGCGACCTTACCAAAATCCAAAGGCCACAGAAAGATTGACATGGCTTTCCATGGTCTCTGGCCTAGTTTCAACAGAGATTGATCTAGAAGTCAACTATCCATCTACTGTTGGACTGTTGGACTATCCGTCTACTGTTCTTTGCATTCAGTGTTTAATCAGGTTTAGGTCATCTTTTAAAGCTTTAGAAATTAAAACAAAAACTTGTAAGTAAATATATTTTTAGTTAAACTCCATAGCCATTTTGAAGTTTTATTGTTGAATTAATGAAACATATATCTTTAAACGTTGTAAATACCAATGACCATTCTACTGAGTCACCTCTGCTGTTTAGTCACTATAAAATATTGCAAATAATTAGAATTCCCTAGGATTCAGATTTCAAATATGAGTCTGAGTATCTTTTAAATGTTTTAGCACTAATACTCTATCATTTATTCACTGAAGGCATGTTTTGATATTATATGTTAGGAAGCAAAGTCCAGTTTTACTCATCGAAGTATACCTTAACTCCTAAATATTTTTTTCATTTAAGGCTATGGCAGAAATGATGGCCGAAAACTACCATAATATATGGGCAAAGAAAAAGAAACTGGAGTTGGAGTCCAAAGGTAATATTTGCTAAAAACCTTTCTAAAAAACCAATCAGAATTCAACTAAATGATTATGTGATATGGTTGAAATAATTAATCTTTTTAGCATCAGAGCTCATCATACCTTTATTTTATTGGAATGGATCAAATAGGTCTAGAACGGATTTAAAGTAGAAATTCTGTAATTTCCTGACTGCTGGTGACTATGTCTTTGTTTCTCAGAATCTCGATAGGTCTCTTTTACCCATTTTAGCGTAGAGATACCTACACTTCTTATTCTAATGTCTGAGGTGTTCTACTTAGGCCGTATCCTCTTGCTGTTCACAGAATGTGTGTTGTATTATGCTTAACACTATGAATATCATAAGACGAAATCACTGGTGGCTCCTTACTGTGCTCAGTGTTAGCTGGGTAGTGCTTGACTGTCCCTTCCATGTATCATCGGATAGCGTCCCTGAATGGGCATAAAGTTTAGTGGGTGGTTGCATTTCTGTAGATGGCACTCTCAGTCAACGCCAGCTCTAGAACAGACACAGAAAACAGGAAAAAAGTTTCTCCTTTGTGATTTTGCTTGCTTATTTATTGCGTAGGGCAAATTCAACATTTATGATTGTTTTATTAAGTCCTGGCTAAACTAAATTGGAAACTGATTTAGTACACTATATGTTGTTATCATCATTAAATCAAAATACTTATTTTCAATTTTTTTTTCTTTCTAGAATTCCCTTAGCAGTTATATTTCAGGGAATTTCAGCATCCTGCACAGTGTACATTACTATACATGTTTTGTAAACCTTAAGTTTGGGTCATATTATGCTATTCAGTTTGCTTTAATAATATTCTTTGTATCAAGATCTTCCCATCTGAAATTACCAGTGCTTTTTTATACTTTTATAATTTTTTTAAAAGTCTGTAAAATTTCTAATTTTATAAATTTTAAATTAATTATTTAAAAATTAAAATAATTTCTAGAATTTTAAAATCTAAAAGAATAGAAAGCTTTCATTTAGTATTTCTCACCAGAATAGGCATACTAGAAATCTAGACTCCTGCCAGAGGTTACTTGCCAAAATGTTTTAGTCAGTCAAGTGTTAGATACTTCAGAGTGATCAACCTTTAACCTAGCATATCTGTGTATGGTTTTTATGTATTCATAAATAATGTCAGTATAAAGCACTCTCTGACTAGGAAATGTAATACAAAATTCTATATTTAAGACATTTTCCTCTTGTCTCTGTGGGGCAGCAAGTGAAGTATAACCCCTGCAATATGCCTCACAATTTTGCTAGATCCAGCTGTGCATGTTTTAGCTCCTGTTCCCACTCTCCACATTCAGAGTTTGTTTGAGCAGAGAAGAGAATGCCGCTGCTTTTCCCTCCCTGTTGTTTGCAGATGTTATTGGCACTCGGTATCACAAATTCATGTATGTCCATGTTGTAACTGCCTCTTAGAAGGCAGACGTATAGTCTTTCTTTGAACAGGTTTCTTGAATTAATTGGAACATTAAAGGTGCTAGAGGGGGAAATGTCTTACATGAGTCTTACATGCTCTGTGTATTATAAAAGGACATCAAAAGTCCTGTAGTGTCATCCTATTACATATGTGCTGTGTCTCATGTCAGATCATGTTCAAATTACCGTGCTGTGATCTTGTCTTGACATTCTCTTAGGAGGTGGAAACCATCCCCTGCTGGTGCCTTATGATACACTGACAGCCAAAGAGAAAGCCAAGGATAGGGAAAAAGCACAGGACATCCTCAAGTTCTTGCAGATCAATGGATATGCTGTGTCCAGGTAAAAGTACGACTACTGCACTTACACATTCTCTTCCTAAGACTGAATATTTAAATATTCCCATCAGGGGCTGGCTGGTGAGCTCAGTTGGCTAGAACACAGCCTTGTAACACCAAGGTCATGGGTTCGGATCCCCGTACAAGCCAGCCACCAAAAAAAAAAAAAAAAGAAAGAAAGAAAGAAAAGCTGGAAATTAATTCAATGACCTAGACCTCAGAGCTACTATTTAGTATGTTCAGAATATACCCATCAGAAACATTAATGCCCTTAGCTGTTTGCCACATAATAGAGTTCCTTTGTTACCTATATTAAATCACCATCCATCATTTAGGCAAAATCCCTGGACAAAAAAAGGTCACTATTTTTTTAAAGATAACATATTATTTCATAGTAAGAGAGTTATTCACTACAGTTTTCCTGCAAAAACTGCAAAGTAGTCCCTATAAATTGAACCACCTTTTTGCCTTGAGCTACAAGAATATTAGATAACTTTCAAAATTAACATATATATATATATTTTTTTTTCCACAAAATTTTACCTTGCAAGAGACTTTGTATAATTTGTTGTGCGTGTATCATTTTTGCTTTTCTAGAGGATTCAAGGACCTGGAGTTGGACACACCTTCTATTGAGAAACGATTTGCCTATAGTTTCCTCCAGCAACTCATTCGCTATGTGGATGAAGCCCATCAGTATATCCTGGAGTTTGGTAGGTACCATAATCCTATTGCAAATAGCCCGGTTTTGGTTGTTCTTAAAGTTTCCAAAATCAGGGTATAGAACAGCACAGACTACTTGGCTGTTTTCCGATGGGATAAACATTCTCTCCATCCTAGTACCAAGTGGAGTAACAAGTTCTTAGTGAGTGCTTAAAGTTTTAGAACGTTTTAAAAATCTAGCATATAATTCTTTTCTCCTTATGATGTTTATTGGCATTTATTTTTCACTTTGAAAGATACACTGGAAGGACATCAACATATTAAGGTAGAGTTAAAGCTTTCCTTTGAGATTAATTGCTCTACTCATGAAAAGAGACTTCTAAAACTCTGTGGATTCTCAAAATTTCTAAGCCTTGTGAAGGCCTTGAGTTTAGCTTTTGTAGGGACACACATTTGCACTAGAGAATCTGTAGTGCAGAATACTTTATTGTACTCCTAGGGTGCAGTGAAAGACCTCCTCCCCATCTGGCCCAGTGCCCCCTCAGCATGAAAAGAACTCATCACTTTCAATGTTAGATTCAGAATGTGTCATCACTTCTGTTATTTCATGATCCTCCGTAGTGTTGTAGAATTAAAATTCAAGTTGTTAATTCCTCGTCTTCATGTCAGATCACCTTCCAGCAACTGGGTGGTAATAAAATGCAGGGAAGGTATACTTTATTCCCTTTTGAAAACAGTGTGCTCTTCCGGTGGTTATCTTTTTATTTTCTTTTTCATTCTCAAGGTTTTGTTTTTGTTTTTAATGTTCATTCCTTCTGTCTTTCAACACCTTTCCTCTGGGTCCACGGTCCTTGATCCCTTAGCTGTCATTTTTCTTAGGATTTAAATATAGTTTCTGGCACAGCAGCAGACTAAAGTTTGTAGAAATTCGAGCTCTGGTATTTTTTTGTTTCTGGCCTCCTGGATCCTAAATATGATTTAAGGTTTTCAAGTTGAGCATCGTTACTGTAAACATCCTACCTCTCTTTCAACCTCCCTTTTTATCTAGAGTCTTAATACTGTAGTTTTGTTCTCTTCCTAATCATTTGTTTTGTAAAAGCCAACTATTCAAACTAATTTATAATGTGTAATCTCTCTGTAACTCGTGCAACTATAATTTTTAAAAATGATACATGATTCATCCTATCAAGTAGCCTAATTAGTCTGAATTAATGAAATTTGGCCCAAGAACAAAAAATGAGGTGGTGGTAAATTTTTGAAGCTTTCACACTCAAGGTTAAGTATTGAAATTTGTGATCCACATTTGAAAGGATCTGCTGTGGGTAGCAACTCCAAGATCTTTTTGGCGAGGCAGGGAGAGGAGGGGAAAAACAAAGTAATCGTTTGGAGAAGGGAACAAGAAAATTGTTTTTTACCTTCACATGGAGAGCAGAAACACAAATTTGAAGGGTAGAAATGTGTTTAGATATTATTCACACTTTATTCAAATTTCTGAATAAACTGTCTCATACGTGTTTATGCATAGGGTGGGTAAGAATCTTGCTTATGGAAAATTCAACCACTCGGTACATTTCATTCTTTCCACGGGTGGAAAGTCTTAGAAGCAGAATGCAGGGGAGAAAGTGGGCTGCAGTGATAGAGCCTAACAAAAGAGCATTTTTTACAGTTCCTGATGTTGCATATACCTTTTTCAGGTGGCTGTGATAGGACACATTACATATAAGAACTCTGCTAGAGGAGAAGGTAGAGCTGTGATTGTCAACGCTGTCCCTTATTTCAGTTTCCATCTTTCCTTGTTATTATGGATAAAACTGCTAGAGTGCCTTCTCCCTTTTTTCTTCACTTTATTGACTTTGCAACACATATTTAATTTACTCATTCTTAGACTTAAGATAATTGCAATAGTAAGAATATGCATATGCCTTTTTCTAATTTTTTATTATACTATTGATCATATTTTCTCCAAATCTTTTTCACATTTTGCGTATAAGCATTTTTGTTAAAATTTATAATGAAAGAAAATATATTTCCTATTTATTAATTCCTTTAACTATTAGCAGAGTTGGTTGTGCACAAAATTCTGTCTTGACGTACTTTATATGAGAAAGTCTCTTGTATGGATCCATACATTTTGCATAATGTGCTGGAGAGAGATTTAATGCCAGTTATACAAAAATGAAATTTGCAAGGGTTAAAAAGCCATTCTTTTCTTTTACTTGTTCATGGGGAGAGCATTGTTCTGATATTACAGAATACTACCTGAATTCCCTAAGAATTATCCTGAATTTGTGACTTAGATTTGATAAAGTATATGTCAAATTATTTTTAGTTGCAAAAGAACTTTTTCAAGCAAAAGTCAGTTTGATTCGTATAAAATCTAGCAGCTCTGCTTACAAATTTTACTAAAACCTTATTTCCAATTCTGAATTTTATAGCTATCTAATATGTTCTTCATATCATCACAGTCATTATAATTTATTATTACCTCTCCACTATGCGTGAAACCTCTTCTGTATGCAAGGAGGGGAGAAAGGCCACCTTCTAAGCTAAGTGCATTAGATCAATCAACAAGATCTTAACCTTGAATCATTTTCTAAACCACTGGGAAAAACTCGGGTATTTTAGCTTTGCTGGTGGAAATTATCTTTTGGCATAGGCGAACCTCTTTACTTTTCAGCAGAATGCTAATTTTTCAATGTCATATTACAATTGCTATCCTCCTCCTCATCACAGGCCCTGGGCTTCCTGCAGTTTTTCAGGTGGCATGTTAAAATTGGAAACTTTATGTCACACCAAGAGGTAACCATCATTATGCAAGGCCAGGGTTAAAATCTATCCTGTTACATGTACTCAGTTTTCACTCACTTTTCTCACGCCGGTGAGCTTCTTTTCTTAAAGGCTACTGAAGACGTGGGAATTTTACTTTATCCTATTCCAATTTCCCACTACATGTCAATAAGATCTTAAAATACACAAGTGTGTTTGTGCCCATAACCACAAGTATGGGCTGACCTCAATAGCTTTTTTATTTGGATTTGGATATTTTTGAAAAATCTCCTTTATTTTTAAATTATGCTGTCAAAGTTAGCCTTTATATTTTTGATTGGCTTTTTTATGTTTGGTTTAAAGGGATAACACATTAGCAATGTGTCCTAAACTTTGCATTTGGGGCGAATATCTTGTAATGTTTGAAGCAGCATGTACCTACAAACTCTTCTTATCCACAGATGGTGGCAGCAGAAGCAAAGGAGAGCATTTCCCTTATGAACAAGAAATCAAGTTCTTTGCAAAAGTACAGTATACAATCCTTCTTGTTTTTGCTTCCATATGTTTGTTTACAAAATATACTTGTTAGATTGTTGCCTGTTTTCAGAATGTACTTGTCTACAAATGTGAATTTTACTACATGTAAATATTCTGTGGAACAAAAATAACTGCATGAATCAAGTGGGATGAATTTGCTTCTAGCAGTGGTTACGTTTTAACACACTCTGTTCTTCCTACCATAGTCTTCAGATGACATAAGTCCCATGTGTGGTCTTTTTCAAAGTTCTAATTTTTTTTGGCTTTTTTGTATAATGCGGAAGAAAGGTATCTATTTCTTAATATTTGAATATTGTTATTATTTAACATTTTTTAAATGGACATTTTTTTATAAGGAGAAAAGCATTAGTTAATTTATAGATAGGTACATTATAAGAACCTTTATTGTAAAAATTTTATTGGGGGACCTTGGTTCTACTCATTTTACAGATGAGGAAGCTGAGGTTCCTGCAGGATAAATTGTTCATATAAAAAGTGTGTCCCATTATTATTTTTATCCATTCCATTTAATAAGGTTTTATCAAGAATTTGCTGTATTAATGGAACATTCATTCCTTCCTTTCATCCAGAGAGAAAGGAGATGAAGAGTTGCAAAATCCCCCATATTGGGTTCATTGACTTACTCAGTATTTACAATATGCCTGGTCTGTGTCAGGCATTAAACCATGGCCTGGAGATTGTCATGAAGACTCAGTGCCCTTGGGTCAGCTTCCTGTTTACAATACCTTGCAGTTAACCTGAAGACGTAATTATTCGATTTCCTTTCAAAGGACTTGCATTTGGTAATGAGACCATTTAGTATAAATGGTTTCCTTTTTGGCTGATTAATATTTGGCTTCTGTTGTGTTTTTGAAATTGTGCCCTTTACTATAAAGGATTACCCTCGTTTTTTCTTTCCATTCAAGATAGCACTCAGAGTCTGTTCCAATCATCCAAGGATCCAAAGCTTGTTCTGGGGTGCACATTGTTAGCTATAGATAGACACAGATCTATATCGATAGAGGTATCTTTCTATATCTCCAGTCTCTATTAGATTGTAATCGCCCCGATAGCCGGTTATAAGAATACTGCATTCATGGCCTCTAATCACCTTTAAAATGCATTCTTACATTGCTCATATACTTAATGCCCCTAGTGGTTTTGTATACAGATGCTTAATGTGGCGTACCTTCTACGAAAGTCTGTAATTCATTCATTCACCATAGTACTGAGTACCTTCTATGTTCCAATCACGAAATTCAAGCAATGTCAGAACCTTCAAGGAGGGTCAATGAAAACTCGAGTATTTCTCATTATATATAAATGTGCTGTATCATACGGTAGGAAAAAAGTGTAGCGATGTTTTCATTTATTCATTCCATAAATGTCTGTCTAGAGCTTGCTATAGGCCCCAAACAGCCCTAACCACTGGGATTCAGGTGTAAACAAAACAGACTAAGTAGCAGTTGAAAGCTATAACGGGAAACAAACCTGGAAATGTTTCTTGTTGTCTTGTACCTTACAGGCTCTTATAGAGAGAGACTTTAATCCAAAATCACACATATAAAATGCAAAGCGATGTAATCTTTCACACATGTAAAAATGAAAGCAATGTTATAAGAGCAAAGAATATGAGATTTTACCTAGTTGAGGTCACAAGGCTTATCTGATGAAGTGCTACTGAGCTGAGGTCTGCAGAGGGAGTGGAGTGATGAAGTTATGGAGTGTGGCAGGAGCAGTTCAGACAGAGGGAACGGCCGTGCAAAGCCACGTGGTGGGCATGGACAGAGTGAAGGGGAGGAATTGGCCCAAGGCCAGCAGGATGAAGTATGTGTAGAAGTGGGAGGTAGGCTTTGAGAAATGCCAAGTAAAAGAACACTGTGTAGGCAAGTAAGTGGCAATGTAACTTTACAGATATTAAATGTCTTCATTTAATACCTATAAACCAGAGATGATGGTGCCTAACCTGCAGTGTAGTTACTAGGATAAATGAAATGACACCATGTCCACTGTGATCCTCACACATAGTAGCAACTCAATACATGGTAGTCATAGATTATTTTTGAGCCCATTGAGCACTGAACTGTATCATATGAAAATACTGAGAATATTTCATTTTGAGAAAATATTGAAAATCTTCAGAATAACTCCAAACTGTTGAAAATTTGTTGTTTCTCATAATCGCATCCTGCCCCCCCCCCACCACCACACACACACGAGACAGCAGAGTGAAACTTGAGAGGCATACTCTGAAATGTTGCCTCCTGGCATGGATACAGGGGGACCTGATGCATGTGAACAAAACTCTGACTGCCCTGAAGCCTCAGCTGTCATTTATCCCTCCAAAGATTCAACTACGTAGATCTGTTTTCTTTTCCCTTCTTTCAGGTCGTTCTTCCTTTAATTGATCAGTATTTCAAAAACCATCGTTTATACTTCTTATCTGCAGCAAGTAGACCTCTCTGCTCTGGAGGACACGCATCAAACAAGGAGAAAGAAATGGTGACTAGGTAAAATAGAGACTGTTGTCTGAGTTAAGTGTCTGTGCATTGAGGAAAGAGCCTGGGGACTTAAAGTGGGAACAAGCAGAGTATCCTCCCATCTCCCCTGGTCCTTGCCCTCTTGGAATCAAACACTAGAGGAGGATGGTTTATGCAAGTTAAGATATGTGCCCTAGATGTTGAGAGTTTGTTATATTTTGCTGTTAAGTGTAATGCTGAATATAAGGAATAAAATATCACCCAATACAGAATTCACAAATAGAGCCAGGAGATGAATTTCCATAGTAGTGTTTGGTGCTTTTAACATTAGTTTCTTTAACATTTCCCAAAATGTAATATTTTTTCCAGCCTTTATTTTCCATGAGGGCAAGATGGCATTTATATAAATTTAAGTTTTAAAATATAATGATCAATATTGGAAGAAAATGAAGTAAAATTATATACTTTCTGAAGACTTCCCTGCATGCCACTCAAGCTGGCATCTTAGCAATGCCTTCTCATTTCTGTTTAAACCCAAGTGTTCATTATAGAGATATTTGTGATTCTGCTGAGGACTTGGGGTCTGTTTCCTCAAAATTCTGCTAGAACTTGGTATATATGAGAATCGATTACCAAACAAGCCTGTTTCGTTATTACTCCTTTGCTCAAAAGTCCATACCAAGCTTTTAGATGGTGTCTGAACAAAATTTCTACAAAAGTGACTAAACTATATAAGGCAGAGCACTGGAGGAGATACAGGCTTTCCTTGGACTTCACGTTAATGCTGTGTTGGATGCCAGTGCAGTTATCAATCTACTGTACAGAGAGAGATGAGGTTGAATGCAAATTCTCCCCAGAGGGTGGAGAAGAAATGATATTCCTGCAATACATAACCCTGAGGAAAGCAACTGGAATGGAATTTTCAGTTCGTCTTTTTAATTTATTGTCTGTTTTACCAACTGGTTAGTGACTAGCCACATGATGCAAATTGCAACAGTATTAAGATGTCTTCACACCTCTTCAAATAATAATCTTCCTAGAAGGTTGATAAAACTGACTCTGGTTAAATAGCAGAGAGATTCCACTCCAGTGACACACTTTGTTTAGAGAGCGACAACGCAGTGTTGCTTTCCACAATGTGAAGTCCCACCCCTTCCCACTTGAGCATGGCTTTCCTTCTGCCTTCCCTAGGAGGGAGAGTGGCTGGTCCCTCATCATCTCATAAGCACACACATCCACTTTTTTTGGCCAATGTCCCTGTGGACAGTGAGTGGACACAGTAGCTACAAAACCCGAGACCATTGTATGTCAGGACACTGAGAATTCTGCAAAGTCCCCGCTCCTCTTGGGGTCCAGTTAACCTTTTGTAACAGAAACTTTGTTCCCAGAGGGTGTTAATTTAGATGTCACTCTATTACATAAATCAAGAGAAAATACAATAAAAGAAAATAGGGAAAAAATACAAATAAGCTGATGTAAAATTATTTTTTCCCCTTTCTTGTCTCATGTCTTATCTCCATTCAATTTCAACCTTACCCTTAAAGCTATTCACTGACACAAAATATACATATATCAAAACATCAAGTTGCATACTTTAAATATATTCAATTTTAATTTGTTAATGATACTTCAGTAAAGATGGAAAAAATTCATAGAACTATACACCAAAAAATTTATCAACTCTAATCCCTCATAGAATAAATCAGAAGCACATCACTTTTCTGTGCCTCAGTTGATCTGTTTTGGGGGCCCTAGACCACCCCTCTGTCTAGTTACAGTGCACCAGAATGTTTTTAATGATTTCATCTTCAGTTTGTCATCACCTAATGGAAAGAGGCTTGGTAAATTTTACTTCCCCCTTTAGCATTTCCAAGACAGGAACATACGTTGTTTAAAATTCTAACAAAGAAATGAGATGCATAATAGAAGTGACTTATTTCATCACAGTTCTTTAGTGCCAAACCTAGGTAGAATTTAACCTCAGATGAAAAATGAATAAGGTAAAAATAAATAATTTATGATACATGTATATGCAAAATGCTGGGCAGTCATTGAAATTATGATGGATATACCTATTTTAAAAAGTTTATTTACATTATTTGTATTTTAAAGATGACATAAGAGAGACTTAGATGATTAGGTTATTTCTCAAGGTCACGTTTTTAGTAAATGGTAGAATATAGATTTAAATTCAAGCATTCTGACTTTAGAGTTCACACTTATGAATGGTTGGTCTGTTAATATATTTGGTATGGCCATAAATAAACCGGAATAAAGATGTCTCTGAGATTTAAGAAAAAAAGAAATTATGATGGATATGAATATCTAATAACTTAGAAAAAATAATCATGATAAAAAATAAAGTATATGTTCAAACTCAACTTTGTTAAAAAACCTAAATTTGTATATACAGAAAAATACTTGTAGGGGACTTAATTTTAACAACTGTTTCATTCAGATAGTGTATTATAGATTTTTTCTTAGTATTTTCATAGTTTTTAAAATGAAAAAGCCTCACAATTTCAGTGAGTAAAGTGGGTAAAAAATAAAATAAAAATGAAATAAGTAAAAACAAAAACCCAAAACTGGTCCTGCTACCATGATTAAACAAGCATACCTACATACACATCACTACAATGGTGATTTAAATTTATATTTAACAGTTGTGAGTATCAATAGTTATGTGGGTGTCAGTTAACTTCTCCACAATTAAAAACTAGTGTTTTTATGCAATGTCTAGATACTTACTTCCTGACACTAGAAATTATTTATGGAGCATTTCTTGTGTCTGTAGTCAGTATTATGTCTGCAAAGAAGAGTAAGATCTGACTTCTGCATTCCAAGTACATAAATATGACATAGCCCCGACAGAAGAAAACCAAGAAGTGCTGTGGGATCCTATATAAAGTTAGACCTCATGGGATGGGTATGCAGGGGCCAGACCTGTGTGCAAGTCATGCTATTCAAGTTGACCTAAAAGAATTTGCAGGCCAGAGATTAAGGAAGGGGAATATTTTCTATTTGTAGACAACCACGCAAATAAAGTGTAGAAGCTGGCAATCTAGGGGAAATGTAGATTGTATAGGTTATATTGGATGTTGACTCCCAGAATAAGGCCTCTTTTTTCTTTCTTTTAAAAATTTTAAGAAATGTATTATGATTATTTTTTACTTAATTTTTATTAGTACTAAGAAGCCACAGAATCTTTTGAAATAGGAGAATGATCAGAACTGCCCACTGGGGAGGACAGTCTGGCAGCAAAAGTAGGATTGATAAGTGCAGGAGAGCTGGGAGGCCACGGCAGGGTGACTGTCGCTGTGGAAGTGCTGCCTCCCACAGGTGTGCTCAGCAGATGTGTGTGATGCCTGCCATGTACAGCGTGCTGTCCGAGGTCTGAGGATGAACACACACAGACAGCAGTGCCCAACCTGAGAACAAACTTAGAAGGACACCTAAGTAGACACATGCATGCAGAGCTAACTCTACAAGAAGTTGTGATGAACGTCAGTGGAGACACAAACAGAGTGCCGGGAGCATGAAAGGGACATGAACGTAGAGAGGAGCTGGGTGTGGGAAACACCAAAGAGAAAGTCGACATGACTTGGAGTGAGCATTAGGGCAGGTGGAAAGGAGTCCAACAGCACACTGATGTTTCAGCTCTGGGTAGATGGAACATTGTTGGTGTCACTAACACAAACCACAGATTTCAGAGAAAGAACTAGTTTCCAGAAGAAGAGGTTTAAGTTTGGTTAGATATCTGTTGAAGCATAACTACTGACATTCAGCTGGAGATACCCAGCAGAGAGTTGGAAATATGCATGTGGTACTAGTGGAGAGATTAGGGCAAGAAATGATATGTTGGTACCTGGGGATTATCTGTACACGTCATGCTCAAAGCTCTGAAAGCACATGAAACTGAAGGAGAGTAGAGAGAGAAGCAAAAATGCTTGAACACTGAGATACTTGTTATATTTGGAGGGTTTTCAGAAGTGAGTCTTTGAAGACTATGGAGACTGACTAATTAGAGAGAAAGGGAAAAATATTGCTGTAAAACAAAATCCAAGGGGAGTCAGAGTTTCAAAGATTTAAGTAGTCACCAGTGCCAAGTACTGTGGAGAGCTCTCCAAGAAGGAGACTGAAAAAAATGTCCTTAGACTTGCTGATTAGGGGCATTGGTGAACGTCCAGGGAGTGCTTCAGTACGAGGCGATGAGTGAATGTGAAGAGGTAGATGAATTATAAATTCTGAAGAATGCTGTGAGTGATAGGAAGCAGAGAAAGGGGACAAGAGAATTATGGAAAATATTTTTAGAGAAAGTATAGGCCAAAGCTTATAATAATAAAACCTTGTAGTTTGTACAGAAACTATACCCTGTAAGTGGATGGCACAGGAGAGGAAAGAGATATAATTTGTCTTTTTTGAGGACCTAGCCTTCTATATCTGTATTTCTCTCTGGTGGCACGTGTGGTTAGGAAGCAGTGGAGATTGTGAAGAAGTCATTTTCCTCTGACAGATTCTCAGGCATTAAATATAATCCATGGATACAGAGCAGTTTTGTTCTCCATTAAAGCAAAACATTCTGGTCCTCGGTAACGGGGTAAAAATATAATTCTAGCATTATAAATTCAACATTATCAAGAATACCTCAGAATGTTTCACCCTGTATACTAGAGAGTAGTAGGTAAAAGATATCACTTAAAATAGATTGGGATACAGGAATCCAAAGTGTGTACATTTCTAAAGGTGATCACTGTCTTTTTAGAAAGAGACAAGCCCTTGTTGAGGTAGCATGCCCTGATGTCAGCCATAAAGCTCAGCACATGAGGGCACCTGGAGAAAGTTGCTCTCGTTTCATTGTCTTTTTTGAAAGAAATTACAGTGCAAGCCTAAATAATGTAGATCAACTGGCTAATGTCTAATCTTATGTCTGACAGCTACTTAGATAGATGATTCTTTTAAAAACTTTCGCTCCCGTAAGAGATTTCCCAAAACCTCAGGCTCACTCAGACATTTGTGGATGAGTATTTTCTTGGAAAAACTACAAAATGCTCTATATAATTAATTTTCATCAGTAAATCAATCTACATTGTTCCTGAGGTGAGACTAAAAATTACTAAAAAAGAAGTCAACCTCACAACTGTGACTCTGTCCGTGTTCTTCCCATCCTGCCACAGATGGGTCTCCTTCACTTCTTCCATGGCTAGTCTGTACCCCTGATCCTGGCACACTCTTATGTCTGAGCCTTGCTGGGACTGGGAGAGCTTTGCAAGAGAGTAGGGCAGTGAGGGTCTAGCTGTCCTCATGACTGGAAAAATCAGGCTGACAATGGGGGGTCATATACAAATGGCTTTCCAAGGTCAGAGTTTTGGTAAGTGCTGGCCGTGCAGAGCTTGAGCGCTCTGAGAGCTCAGAAGAGTGTGGGGAGATGTGGAAATAATGCTAGTTGTAATTTGGGAGGTTAAGTGCCCTGGTAGAGATTTGCAAAGGGCCCCTCGGAGCAGCTGGGAAGGGGTCCTCTTTCAGGTCGGGCTGGGAGTGGTAAATGTGCTGGGTGTCTGAATAGGCTTCTTGGAGTAAACACGTCCTGAGCTGAGTTCTGGGTGATGAGTAGAAGGGAGTATAGCATGGAAGTAAGTGAAGGGTATTCCTCTAAAGAGGGACTGCGAGGAACCCACCCGACTGAGTCCTGTTGAAAAGACTAGATGGTAGCAGGGATCTCCAGGGATCCGGGGTCAGACCTGAGAGTTAGTGGATACCAGGGCTGTCTTGCTGAATGCTGAATGGAGGCAGCCTTATTGGAAATCCCCCATTGCTAATTGCCATAAGGACCGAAAGACCCAGGAACTCACTCTAGAGAAGATAAATATGCTGTCAACTCTTTCATTAGCATTAGGAAAGTCTTTTAAGTTGACATCTGTAATGTTTTCCTCTGAGTAATTATCATTTGTTCAAATTATGTTTCTACTTCACTGTTTAAATTCACTTGGTGTTTGGTATACATGTAAGGGGTGTGATCAAGGTTGGGGAAGAAGAAAATTTCAAAAAATGAAACATACTCATACTTAAAGTAATATTTTATGCCCAAAGCAACCATAGTTCTGTTGTTAAATAATGCCCATAATTAAAAAAAAAAAAAATCTAGAATTTCCGTGGTACATTTGGGCTGATAAAATTAACTTTTTCATTGTGCTTTTTAGTAGTTATATTCTTGTGGGGTTCATATAGATTGCTTTTATATTAATTAGCTTTGCTTTCAATTTTTTTTGTTTCTTTACTTATAATATGTGCTTTTTTAACCATGTTTGTTATAGAGGTGCACTCAAAGACTCTTTCTTTAATACCTTTACTCCACATTCTGCTCAGGGAATTGATTCTTTCTGCGTGACATCATGTTGCTTTTTTCCGGCTCATATATCAGCTGTTTTTTTTTTTTTTTTCTTTTTTCTTCTTTTTAATTTTTTAAAATTTCCCCGTCTTTTCTACCTTCCCTTCACCCTTCCCTTTTCTCTTTTGTTTTTCTTTTGTCTTCAGCCTATTCTGCAAACTTGGAGTTCTTGTCAGGCATAGGATTTCACTATTTGGTAAGGAGACCCTTGAAAAAAATACTAGCATGGCCATCACTTGGTTTTCTTTGCCATTTTTGCACTGTGTCGTGTGCTGCTATATTGCATGAGAGCATGTTTGCATGGCTGCATGCATGGTTGTCACAGGCCAAGATGAGGTCCTTGAGGTTGTTTGTAAGTAGCATTATCAATGGTGAAATTGAGGACTGTACTTTTTTTTAAATACTGGACCAAAGCAAAACTGAAAATCAAAAGGTTATATTGTTAAAAAGCAAATGAATGAAAATGACAAGTTCTGCCACATTTGATTTTGGGGTAAAACAAAACCGGGCCCTTGGATTGTGTTTGGTTATCTCTGATAGATTAAGTAATGAGCTGTTATAAATCAAAATTTTTAACTGCACTTATTTTTTTTAATGCTCTTGACTACAGATTTGCATGTCTACTGCATTCCAAACACTGGAGCTTCATAGTCGAGACAGTGAAGCCAAGGAGCTTCACTTGGCAAAAGTGACTTTTCTAGCACCACTCACCCCAGAGTCAGTTCTGTGTGTTTCTGAGTATTCACGTAGCTGAAGTCCATGTTCCTGGCACCTGCTTCTGGACAGCCATGCAGGGTGGGCACTCACTTTCCACAGATTTTCCCCAATGTGGGGCTTTAGGAATGTATAGCAGCTGGCAGAATTTGTGTTTTTTCACACTTTCCTGCATCTAATTTTATAAATTGACAAAGTGGATTTGAGCACTTTGCTTTATAGGTTTTGAAACCATGTTGGGGTAATTTCAATAATAAAACTTTAGTGTATTGATAGAGATGTTCCAAGTTCAATTCCATTTACAGGAAAAACTAAAGATTAAAAAATTAAGTTATTTCTACAAAACCACAATGAATAAACTGAGGAATAGGTATATATGTGTGTGCATGTATATATATATGTGTGTGTGTGTGTGTGTATACATATATTTACAAGGGTACTTCAAAAAGTACTTGGAAAAATAGGATTGAGAGATAATACGAATCCTTCCATTAACTTTTTGAATTACTCTCATGGAAGGATTCATATTATCTTTTAATTGTATTTTTCCATGAACTTTTAAAGTACCCTCATATGTATACACACATACACATATATACATACAAAGAACTTTTAAGTTCTTTATATTATATTTTTTGAGAAATGATAGTTTCTGAATATAATTAGTTAATGCTGTATTTGGTTTCTAGTATTATGTTTAATATTTGATGCTCTTAAATTTAATAATTAAAATTTATATTTCATATGAATTGCCTGAGTTTGGATATTAATGTTTTAGTTATTTAAAATTCAGTGGGGCAATTTTCTTCAGAACAATTTCCAGTTGACTGACACTTAACTTCTCTTCCACAGAGAAAAGTTTCTATGAAAATTGTCCAGACAGGATTTTCATGTGCTCTTGAACCTTCTCAGAATAACAGTAGATTCAGATAGTCTCCATTTGTCTGCAGGGACTACTGTTTAATACACGGGGGGCCTGTTCTGAGCTACAGTTTCTGCATTCTTCTTATTGAATGTAATAATACTTCGGTGTGCTATGTCTAACTTCCTACTTATTGTATATTCTTGCTTTCCTACATTATATCTCACTATAATTTCCTTTTTAAAAAAACTTTTTGAGGTATTCCATACATACAGTAAAGAACACAAATCTTCAGAACAACTCGATGAACTTCTACATACGTAGACAGCCATTCATCATTGCTCAGGCCACGACGCAGAACATTTTGAACATCTCAGAAGCCTCCCTTGCGCCGTTTCCCAAATCATAACTCTCTTTAAAAGAACCATGCATAGATTTCCATTACCATGGATCAATTTTGCCTGTTCTTGAACTTGTACTTTTCCTTTCAAATACATAATTTAAGGGTTTATGGTTATATGGTTTGTTTATGGGTAGTATGGCTTGCTGAGCCTATTGAGGAGAAGAACAGGGCTCTACCATTCATTTCATCTCTGTGCGATCCATGTAGGCATTGTGTTTTAAGTCTCTTAGCCTTTAAATGCAATTATTTTTATTTCTAGCAGGGATTTATTGGAGACCCACTATGTGTTTTTACCTCAAAAGTGTACTTTTGCACATTCTTTATATTATAATGGGGTCTAATGTTATTATTGCTTGAAATTTGCTATGGAATTTACCTGTAAAATAACTTAAACTTCACAAGGCCTTTATTCATCAAACCTATTGTGATGCAGGCTTGCTAGATTATCAGAATCTTTACGTCTAAGCATTTAAACTTTACGCATTACAGTTATAGCTTTGCTGTAGATTAGGCTGAGAATCAGAAAACTTAGATCTAAGTCCTATTTTTGTAACTTAACCAGCTGAACAGTTTGGACAAGGGATTTATGTTCTCTGAACCTTCATTATTTTCATTTGTATAGTAGGTGAAAGCAACTACTCTGCTACTCAGAGATCCATTGTGTATGTTAAGTCTAATGTAAGATAGACAATACTGAACCTACTATGTAAACAGTAGCCTTACAGCTCTCACATGTAAGGGATTTCTAGTCTTACTTATTAAGTCTGTTACATTTTATTTATTAGATTTATTTAAATCTTATTATTAGATCGTATTTAGGTCAAATTACACACAAATTAAATAGGGAAAATTAAATTAATAACTTAGTTATTTAAAATATGTGTACAATGAAGCCTGTATAATGGACCCATTTCTAGAATGAATCAGAAGAGGTATAACCCCAGTATTTATTTTTTGATTGATCTGTAATGCCGTTGTGGATTTCCCTAAAGAGAGACACTCAATAGCATATAATCAGTGGCTGTTTTTATAAAGTCTTATTAATCTTATTTTTTCCCTTTATCCTATCTTTGTGTTATATCATTTTCCTGCATTCTGGCAAGAAATAAACTGATCACGAAAATGTGCAGAGGGGTCTTTAAAAAGTTTATGGAACGATTCACATTACCTTTAATTCTATTTTTCCATGAAGTTTTTGAAGTACCCACATATTTACTGTACTCTCTTAATTAAAATTTTTTTTCATGACCTAACCTAAGAATAAACTAAGACAGAGATGAAAGTTGAGGTTCAAAGAAATACTTGACTTTTATGATGCTGAGCAGAAGTAAAGGTATAGAAGTGTATCCACATTATTCTAGAATACTTCATGGAGGAAAAAAAAAAAGAAAACAGCATCTTGTTTAAACATCTATTTTAAGCACCTTGTTTGCATTCTGAAACGCTTGTAGTGGTTAAGTTGTGCACGCGTGTACATGGAAATTCGGTCAGACCGTGAGTAGGACCCAGGCAGGTTGACATTACATAAGGATCCCATTTGCTATTTTCGAGGACCCAGTGACTAAAGAAATATCGCTTTTATTCCCACAACTTCCCCTGCACTTTTGCTAACTGGAAATTCTTTTTTTTTTTTGTCTTTTTGTCTTTTTTCGTGGCCGGCAACGGATCGCAACCCTCAGTGTCGCGCCCGTACCAGACCGGGACCGGCAATGGGATCGCAACCCTCGGTGTTGCCCCCGCTCCTCGCTCAGCCAGTGAGCGGCCGGTCTGTATGAGGGATCCGAACCCTCAGCGGGAACGCCGCCGCGCTTCCCAAGCAGCGCACTGCAGCAGTGTGCCACCGGGCCGGCCCGCTAACTGGAAATTCTGATGACTACTTTCACAGTAGTTAGAGGCTCTATAAGCCCTCCATTACAGCCTATTTAAACCTTTCAGTCATTTTTAGAGGAAGCAGAATGTGATAACTAACAGTCCAATAGCAATGGTGGCACAGAGGTGCGCGTATTAGGGCTCGTAAGGGCTTTATTTTTACATGTGAAAATCAATCTAATGCCTCAAATGTGTTCATTTGGTAAACATTTATTGTGTGTCTGCCATGTGCAAGGCATTCTCTTGGGATGTAAGGATAGAAAAATGAGCATTTCTTTATCTCTCTACTACTGCACCGAGGCCAATTGACAAACACCTCCCACCTGTACTACTGCAAAAGCATCCTAAACGTTCATTCTCTCTCAATCCCCTCTCACCTCTCTAAACTGTGCTCCATAGTGATGGTAACTTCCCCAAACACCAGTGTCTCATGTCACACTCCTGCATACTGAGTGGCTTCTCATTTCTTTAGGATACAGATCAGAATTAGTGTTTCATACTCCATCCCCTGTGTACCACTCCATCCTCATTTCGCAGCATCTTCTCTCTTGTCACTGTCGTGCTTCCCTGTCCGCCTCTCTGCTTTGGGAATATGTCACATTCCTTTCTGCCCAGGGTCTTCATGCGTGCTGTCATTACTGCCTGGGACGGGAGCCCCACACGTAACACTTGTCTCCTCTGTCCCTCACACCCATAATGAAGCAAACTACCCATTCTTCCGATTTCAACCCAAATATTACTCTCTCAGGAAAGCCTTCCCTGATCTCCCTGGTACACTCCCCCTCCTGCTATAACAACCTTCTCTAGCTCTGCGTACCTCTCCTTCGTGTGCGCTTACTGGGCTCACAGCTCCCTCTCACACAGAACTCTCAGCTCTGTGAGGGCTTGTCGTTGTACCCTCAGTGCCTACCTAGCAGGAAGCCTTGCATGTTGTAGGTGTTTTATGAATATCAGATGAACGAATGAATAAGCCAACCAGGTGCTGCCTTCAGGGAGCATACAGTCTAATAGAAAAGATAGATAAGTGAGCAGACACGACAGTGAGATAAGTGCTATGAATTTGGACGTGTTCTTACTTCACTAATAACCCAAGTTTTACTTTTTTTTTTTTTTTTTTTTTTTTTAAGAGTTTTTTCAGAGAAAATGTAATATCCAATTTTTTTACAGTTTTTGAGAATCATGGTTTTTTAT